TTGTTGTTGCGTTAGCCATCTTTCATTCATGTACTTTTTTTACATTAATCTGAAATCGGGGACCAGATCGGAATTGAGAATAAATCGACTAGTGTTCCAGTCGGCTTGTCTTCTCTCACTCGCGCTCCTGTAAGCCAATCAAGTGATAGAATAGTTTTCGTCTCTCTACCCCAATTCGAACTCACGCGTGCTAGCCTCAAGGTTAAGCCGGTCAGCCTATCGCTTCATTGTCTTAATCTAGATTAGACAAGTGATCCTCAGCACCAAAAGTGGGTAGACAGATCAAGGACGTCACATGAACTCACTAGTTTTAATGGACTCACGTATCTGAAGGCGCTCCGTCACACATTGGCACTAGATCGCGAATGGGAACGCCGTGCTCAATTTCTCCTTCAACCGATAGCCAGTTTAGACCAGTCGCTTCTTAATGTTTTGATAACATAATGAATATGTCTTCGAACTTCCTCACGTCTGACTTTCGATTTCACTGGGTGGTTACAGTTCAATTATAGAAGGTGTTACTGGTTAAAGTGTTGTCAAACTCCAAATACCTGTAGCATCTTCATTGGTGAATGCGATGTTATCTGGTACATCAACTCGTAAACTGTGTGTCTGTTCCCTTATGTAACTTCGTATATCATTTCTTTATTTTAATTTTTATATATTGTGATATTATTTTCAAATATTTTTTCCTCCTTCATTCATGCACTTCATATTCGTCGTGTTAGGTATTCGAGAAAATGACTATGACACAACACTCATTCCGGCTAATGCCATGCACCGGACCACACCCAACCCTGGTTCTGCTACGCAGGGGCTGACTTCTACGTGCACGGCGTGACCGATACACGTGCATAATTCCTCGCTATAGTTCAGGTACTACTGTGAGAATTCAACAGGTACGTCACACCTAGTATGTTTGCGAGTGACGTTTTTAAACCCTATGAAAATCTAAAAAGGTATATTCTGATATGCTGAGATCGATAACATCGATTTGAAAAGTGGGTCAGCAACGCACATGTTAAAGAGAGGAAGATGTAAGATCCATTTTGAATGTTTTGTGTGTTGGTGAAAATCCCTCCATGTATATACTTGTACTTTGTTCCTATTGATCTCCTTAGTTGTACATTGTTGTCTTTTGATTACATTTGAATTGTTAATACTTGTATTTTTTATTATAGTTTTTGTTTTTTCTTACGTATTCATTAAGTTTGTGTTTCTTCCCGAACTGCATCTGTGTTGTTCTACTTGACACTTGTTCTTGGCGGTAGCCATATTAATTTGCTCCTCCTTTTGTGTGTTCTATCCAGTCAGGATAGAATAACGTTCATTTGTTGTGACTGGTAATTTTCCCTCATCTTTCATCAACTACTTTATTTATTGTAATTTAGATTTTATTGATTAAACAATTATTGGTTGAATAGCCGGGTGGTAATATTTGTTTAGGTAACGATTTACATTTAAATTCATGATGAATTATAGAACCGCTAAATACCGGATTACTTGTTTTGATTTCAACGGGAAAGGGCGCGTGTCTAACGTACCTGGACGGCTATTCCTTTATCCAAACCGTGGTTTGGATCTTACAGAAGGTAAATGGTCAGAAGACTTTCGACGATGGTCTGTTTAGACAACTTTTCTTGTCTAGACTCCCATAACAGGTATGTTATATCTTGAAAGTTGATTTCTTGATAGGCCGCGTATAACCGAGCACTAGAACACCGAAACCTTTCCAAGTCGCAATAAGAAGACAGAAGACGAATGAAAGGAATATTATTCCATGCAGTGTCAGTGTAGTACAAAAATTGTCGGGTATTTATAGTGTTTAGTGAGAATGAAATCATCATTACATTATTCCAATCCTCATACAGGGGATTATTAGCATCATCCAATCGGGAAGCTACACGTAGGAATTCTAGAATATTCTTCCGAAAGGTGATTGGGTGGAACGTCTTCGGCTCCTTCTGAGCCTCTCATAGCTTCCTCGAGTTCACCGGTGGTCCGTCCTCACAATGTGCAAGCGGTGCTTGTCTCGTTTCAAGACAACACTGTAGAGCAGCTGATTGCCATTGCAGACAGCATTTTAGAGATCAAACCTTTAAAAACCGGGATTCTTTCTGTCAAAGGAAAACCTCAAGCGACACAGAATGACATAACGGAACTATGTCATACTCTGACATGTTACCTTTGTATTCGTCAAGACCGTAAACGATCCTGAACCCCTCGAAGGAGTTCTTCAAGAAAACGATTTGTCTCCAGATCACGAGAGACAGATAACCCCAACTGGTGTTGATATCGTAACCAGTAAGAAAGTTTTTCTAGAAATAGAAAACTGAAAACACGAAAAACAATTCGAGAAATTTCTTAGCGGACACGCGGCAACGGCAACCGTAGACGGCGAACACAGCCGTCTGTTATACGCCACAGGTGTGATAACGAAAGTTCGCTACTTCGTCGATACTGGCTCAGGAGTTAGCGTTCTTCAAGCGAATCCTACAACCGAATGCATGAACCAGCTGTAAACTCACAGACCGCAGACGGAAAGCCAACCGCCACACATGGCAAGCGGAACGTCTATCTTAACGTGCGTTTATGCAAGCACATCCACTAGATTTTCGTTGTCGCAGACGTTTCTATACCGATTATTGGTATAGACCTGCTACACATTCAGAAATGCCGAATCGGAACTAACTTGTTAGATTTCCTAGGACACATTATTGATATTCAAGGCATCCGACCTCTGAGAAGCAACGTGACAGCCATTCTGTATTACCCAGAACCAACCACTTTTATTAATTACGCACGTTTAACGACCTTGTGAGTTTCTATAGACGATTCATTACAAACTACGTGTCCTTTATGAAACCTCTAACACACTTCGTGGAAATGGGAAATCTATCTTTTTAGGCGATCTCTCGAAAAAAGCGTTCAGGTCGTTTCCTGGAGATTTCGCTATGTTCGATTTCAGCCTCTCATAAAATTGGTCTTTATCGTCTTCGTTGCTATAATATAATATAATATTGGATAACATTCATTGTGATTCTGTCCTTCGTTGCTTTGAAGGATGCTTTGACGATCCTGTATTCATGAGATTCCCACCCAACAAGTTCATTTCGTGCTTCTTTGGGCAGGGGGACGGGACAGTCCAACGTTCAATTTATAGAAAAAGTAATTGGGATGGCCTGTACCTGCATTTCAATAGTTTTTGTGCAATTAGTTACAAGAGGGCGTTGGTTAAAATACTATTTTACAGGGCAGAAAAGATATGTACCACAGACAAACTGGAAGAAGAATTAATGAACGTAGAAAAATGTCTAAAAGTAAACTTATATCCACAAAAGTTTATTGACAAATATGAAAGGCCAAGGAAAAGAAGATGGTAATAACTATGGTCAATAAAAAGCCAGTATATATAAATCTTAACTTTAAAGGTGATGACGTCGCACAAATTATCAACAAGAGACTGAATACAGCGCTAGCCAGAACTTATCCGGCAGCTAAACTTTTAATTCTATATAAAACAACATGTTCAATAACCCAATCAAAGAACGACAAGCAACCCTTTCAGGTTACCGCCAACTGTATTTATAAATTTACGTGTACTTGCCAAAGCAGCTACATCGGCCGAACTGAAAGGAGAGCATATCTTAGATTCTTTGAACATGTTCCAAAAAGTCTTAGAACAAGGGAAAGAAAGACTCTGAATAATGCAATCACCAAACATCTCCTTGATACAGGACATCAGGTAGATATCTTACAATCCTTTAGGGTGATTAGTAAGCAGCCGAACTTCAGCCATTGCCATCAGGCGTCAAAAACCTGACCTATGTATTCAAAAAGAGACGGTGGTTAATCTTTCCTTGCCCTGGTGACAACGATTCCTTCATTCCACCATAAAATTTTATATTTATTTATTTTTCTTTTTTCTTTTGCATTTATTATATCATTGACTCTACTTTATTTTTTCAACTATCTTTCAAATTAATACTATTTCAACTGAACTCTACTCATTACACTTCTTCAGTGTTATTCATTATGTAATTGATTGTTTCTAACCCACTTTTGGACTGTTGTCACAAATAATGTTGTAGAATATTCTTTCACACTAGGTATATATTTACAATATTCAGTTAGCAATTTAAACCAATTATGTAATTATGATTTTTAAATATCACAGGTTGTAAGCAGCTGACGAGAACCTAAGAAATAAAATGAACTCATGCTATTCTGCTAGAATCTTTGTTCTTGCTCTTTTCAAAATGATAAAAGGAACTATGCGTATGAAATCTTTAGACAGAGTCAGTTCGACTCCCCGAGTGTGTAGAGCATTTCCTTCTTTATGATTAGAATACAGCAGCATCTCTTCCGAGTCTAAACGCTTCTTCTCAGCTTTGCTTCAGTGTGTTTCACTTATTCGATATGAAGTATTTTGGCAATGGTTACCAGAAATGGAAAAATTATGATATTTATTATCATGTAAAATATCTCGGAATGTTTATCCTAATTTACCACTAGTGATTTTCAGTTTCTTTAAGCATTTGTTTATTTCTTCAATACATTCATCACCTGGCATTCTGTAAACAGGAGAACAATTTATAGTTATTGCATTGTTGTTTTAGTATGTTAGTAGGTAAATATACCAATAGTTGCGCTATATGAATCAGCCAATAGTGACGTATCCTCACCGGCGCCAGCTAGAAGTATTTAAATTGTTACGTAGTTATGGTGTTTATGGATTTAGTGTTATAATTATTAGATCATCCTGATTTCACAACCATTTTATTGCTTGCTATGACTTCATTGCTATCACTTTTAAGCTCAGCTGAACTCCGTGCTCATGCTTACTTTTTCAAACGTTCTCTATTCCAGATCGTCATACACGCCTCTTTGCACATCCCCGTCTATAAACAACGTACTCAAGAGATAGAACTAATCTTCTAAAACTTTGGACTTTATATAATCTCGGTAACTGGCTTTAGGTATTGTATTTGACACTGCGGATGTCCAGAAGCTCTAATTGTTTTCGAAAAGGATTTCCTCTGAGATCATTCAAAAAAGAATTGGATTATGCCAAAAATGAAAGTGGCGCTCAGATTCACGGTGTTAAGAATGATACAGAACAACCGCTAGATGCTGAAAGTGCGTTAAATGAGTCAAATGAACACCGATATTTGAGAGCAAAAGCTAACGACATTACTGATCGGCGATACGGCTTCGAAACATTTGTTGGTCCTGGCGAGCGCATCGGCTGGCTCGTAAACATGCACCCCACTGATTTACTAGATGAGTCAAAGAGACTGGTCAGTGGCATCGATCTTTATTTTCTTCAAACAGACGGGAACCGTTTCAAAGTTTCGAGACCTTATCTCCCATATTTCTATGTGCTGGTTCGTGGAGGTCAGGTTGCAGAGCGTGACGCCAACTCGTATCTATTGAAACGATTCTCCGGTCGTCTTGCTGGAATTGAAGTTGTTTCCAAGAACGATTTAGATTTACCTAATCACCTTGTTGGAATCAAAGCAACTTACCTTAAGATGTTGTTTTATAGTGTGGATGAGTTGGTTCGAGTTCGCAGGGAGCTAGCTGTCCGGATCCGTGCAAATCGTGAGCTGGCCTCTTCGGGATCTTCTTATACGAATATATTAGCTGAACACTTCAGAAATGACGACTATGGAATTGTAACTAACCAGTTAAGTGTAAAGCAAAACCGTAGTGATCCTCTTGATAATTTGTTTGATCTAAGAGAGTCAGATGTTCCCTACTTAACCCGTGTATGCATTGACTTGAATATATTTGCTGGTTGCTGGTATATCACAACATGTAAGCCTGGATACCCTCCCGAAATTAAGCATCATGAAGATACGGTGGCTTGGCCTGAGCCTGTGGTATTGGCATTCGATATTGAGACTACCAAAATGCCTTTAAAGTTTCCTGATCCTGCAAATGATCAAGTTAGTATTACGTTTGTTTTATGGTTTTCTTTATGGTTGATACATTAGGACGTCGTTTTCGATAAGAATTAGTCACGTTGGTCGGGACTAGTCTATTATTTCATTGGACAGGTTTCTTTCGTAGTTTGCTGCAAATCTAAAATAAACGGTGCCTAGTTCCCTTCATACTTCCGACTATTATTTATTATCTAGTAAATATGTGTTTTAGAGTTCTTAAGAACTTTTCAACAACTAAATGATTTTTGGTTAGCTCACTTAACGACTTCATAGTTTGGCGATGTCTTTGGGACATCGTATTACATGACAAAATACAGGCTAATTTACTTTGATTCGTTTGGTCATTGCTATTGTCGCCTGATGTCTGCTCTTTGATAGTAAAAAATATTTATACTAGACCCATCCTCTTAGCGTAGACTTTATGTCCTGTCTGTTTGACAGTTTAGTAGGAGAAATATATTTGTAACTCAAATTTCAGTAACATGTTCGTTCTTATTAGTAAAGCACCGCTAACCCAATTCAAATGATTGAATTCATTTGTTGTTTTGTTTTCGCTAGTCATCTGTTCTCAGACAGAAAAAATGAAAACACCTGACAGTGTTGTGAAGAAGATTAGAGTCATAGTTGGATCACTCAATATTCATCATTTCAGAGGTAGCAAATTTAGTTCATCTGCACTTTAAAGAGATAAAATCGTCCTCATCTTGATTTTCTGAGCGTTTCCAACGGCTTACAATCTTTCCACACGCGATGACTAGCTGCTTTTATTCAATACCAACTTTCTATGAACTATTCCAACTATTGCGTACAATTTCGTCATACGCACTTCCATCAACATCCGAAAACCTTAAGTGATAAATGTGAAAAATATGTTACAGTTGTTATTTTTCAACTAACGGCTACCTTTAGATCTTTGTACGGTTACCAGTATGTGTTGGGATACATGATATGATTGACTGAAATGTCGATTTCAGGAACATCCAGTTAATATACGCAGATATTTAAAAAAAAATCCTAAGTGGCCTCTTCGTTATCAGTTTGAATAGTGTCAAAATTTGCTGGCCATGGGTGTTTTACAAAAACGAATGGGCAAAACGCTCTGATTATTAAATTTCTGATGATATCTTGGAAGTTTCATCCATCCCAAAGTTTATAACCTGGTTAATACAAATAAAAGCTCTTATCTTTCATGATAAATTATCGGCGTATATACGTTGTGCTATGTGTTAACGGGGAATTTGTCTCAGGTGAAAAGGCTTCTGTAAGTTGGTTTATGAAGCTGATTTAGGTGCTCAGTGATTTCTCAATATTGGATAGTACTACTTAACCTTAGCATACTTCTAATTTGTTTCTATTTTAGATAATTATGATATCGTATATGTTAGATGGAGCTGGACATCTTATCTGCAACAGGGAAATCCTATCAGAAGATATAGAGGATTTTGACTACACACCAAGACCAGAGTTTCCAGGTCACTTCACTGTGCATAATTTGCAAACAGAATTAGATTGTATTACATTTTTCTTCGAACATATTCAGAGAGTTCGACCAAACATATTGGTTACGTATAACGGCGATTATTTTGACTGGCCATTTATTGAAGTTCGGGCCGCTAGCTACGGGCTCTCCATATCCGAAGAAATTGGGTTCTCTCGTCAGAAAGGTACTGCGGGCCCTGGAAGAGATGGAAGTTCTGGCGAGTACCTATCACGACCAGCAGTTCACATTGACTGCTTATGCTGGGTTAAGCGTGATAGTTATCTTCCCGTTGGAGCTCGTGGTCTTAAAGCTGTCGCCAAAGCTAAACTACGATATGACCCAATTGAAGTAGATCCAGAACTAATGTGTCGTATGGCTCACGAATCACCTAGAGAGTTGGCGAATTACTCAGTGTCTGATGCAGTTGCCACCTACTATTTGTATATGAAGTATGTCCATCCATTTGTATTCGCACTATGTACAATACTTCCACTAAACCCTGACGATGTTCTTCGTAAAGGCTCCGGTACACTATGCGAGGCTCTTTTGATGGTTCAAGCTTATGCAGCGAATATTGTCTTTCCCCACAAACAGACAGATGGTGAATCTGGACCTAACAATTTGTTGTTGAGTGACTCTGGAATTTCTGGAAAGTTTACGGAGGACGGACATCTTATCGATTCTCAGACTTATGTTGGTGGACATGTGGAAGCCTTAGAAGCGGGTGTTTTTCGTGCTGACATACCCGTTAGATTTCGCCTAGTTCCTGCAGCCCTGGAAGCATTAAGAGCTGATGTCAAACGTTGTATGAGTCGAGCTCTACAGGCGGAGATTGGTGCAGAAGACGAAGATGCATTGTTTAGTGTCATAGCGAAGGATAATTTTAACAAGGTATAGGTCTGAAGTACTAAATTCGTTTCTACTTATCACTTTGCCCGAGTATTTAGTATGTTGTATTAACTTTTAATGCTTCACGCCGTAATTTATTTGAGATTACCAGTAATTATTTTGTGTTGTCAGCCTGTGGTCACTTCTTTGTCGCACACTGACAAAATTTGTGATCACTAAGCCGTCCATTGCGAGATGGATGCACATATTTTGTTCGCCTGTTAGTCCTATGTGGCTGATTATGTACTACATGAAACCCTCATTGTTAGAACAACTCATTCTTGATTAGATGTTCTAGTTTCCCCCAATTCTGTAAACTATAGAATTTTGAGAAGCAAAGGAACACTAACACTTGTCTTCATATGCTCATAGGCTGCGTTATTTCTTACTGTACTGTCTATTTGATGAGATAGATTTATATCTTTTAATCCTATCAATTCACCAACTTGTAGAAAGTTATGCCCGTTAGGATGCCGCTGTGGATATATTTTTGAGCAGAGGAACATAGGGTTTTCAGTAATGATATACTTCTTAAATGCTAATATTATGATTTTATTATTGAAAAATTGTTGTGTTTTACGAATTATGTTTTATTCAATATTAAATTTTACTGCCTAGTAGAAACTCATAACTTTCCTGCTCTAAAATGTTGCTTTTTTTACCCGAAACATTTTACTTACAAACTAACTGTCGGGATTGTATGTTGATATCTCATTCTTGTGATATTAGTTAGGAAGAGACACGGATATGACCCAGTAATCGGTTTATTTTCATCCATAGTGACGTTTCTATTCATGAGGATCTGTATTCTTTTTCACAATATGCTATCGAATAATGAGTTGTGAATCGAACAGTTTATAATTTATTCGGGTTTAAACTCAGCTGATGTAAACTAAATCGATATTAAAAATTTGTTAGGGTATTTGTTGATCCATTTGTAATATAGTTATGATCTATAGTGAATCCTCGTCAGCTAGCGTCTCTACCTTATTGGTTGCGTTTGTCACTATATAGTCATACCCAACCATCAGCAGTCATAATTATCTAAGTGTTGCGTTATCTCTGACTTGGTAGTTAAATAGTTTTCGGCCATAAAGCAAAAATAGTTGACTGGATTTACCAACTGTTATTATGCCACAGAAATTTCTTCTGGGTTTGAGAAATATAGTTGGGTTAAGCTTAATTTAGGCCTTGAACTTAGTTTGTTCTCATGTGTTTTATTCAGGTTATATCGGCTAAACAGTTAAAGCCTCTTCATGGTTTCATGTTACGTAGGCTTAGATGCAATAATTATCCTATTTCCATCATCACAGATGGTTTAGTAAAATTTCGGTTTCTCGTTTTCAAAACTATAAACTCGTACACATGTATCAAATTATAATTCTGTAAACAAGTTGGAGACTTGTTAGACAACTAATATGGTAATTTGTGATAAGCAATTAACATAGTTTTAGTTAAGTAGTTACAAAAAAGGAATTTTCGGGAAATATGAAGTACATAGGCATTTAGATAAGTAGAGCAAATGTAAGTGCCATTCACTGAAAGCTAAAATGAAGCCTATGGGACGTGAATGATAATCAAGAATTCCAAGTGGAAGCATATAATAGTGACAGTAATCGTAAAACAGTATAAGAATAACAATTTGCGAGGCAAAGATCTTGTGAAAGGTAATGATATAACGCTTTTATGCGAAGAACCCAGATTTTATGTTGTGAGTGACTATAGCTTTTGCAATGAAAACGGGGTTTAGGTGTATACTTCTCGAAGTCTGCCTGCATCTTGTAAATAATATCAAAGCATGAATGTGAAGCTAATTACCCTAAATTCACTACATGTTGCAGAACTAAACTTTCAACATGTTACATTCGAAAAACACTACATATTTAGCTGTTTGATTTGCTTCTAATATGTGAATAACGACTAATTTCTCATTTGAACAACGTAGGTTATAACGAATGGATTATATGGTTTACAGAGAAAGATAATAATTATACGTTACACGTGTTACACAAATGATGAAGACGGAATACAAGCTTACTTAAGACGAAATGCAAGCTTATTATAGTGAAGAAATCTGCTCTATTAAAATACTTGTTTCACATGAAGTCTTTAGTGAATCAAGGTGCACACTTGTTTCTAGAAAATAGGCAGGAGTTGATACTCATTTTAACTTTATCATTAAGTTCTGAAGTATGAGCATATTTGAATAGGATTTTTATGCAGATTCAAATGGTGAGACGAACAAACTACCATGGAAGTTAGGAGAAACGTAAAGTTCATCAGGTTTTCAGAAGTATTTGGATGTTTGTTAGCAAATCGTTTACTGTATATTTACAAATCAGTAGTTAAGCTGCTTGATGTCAGCTTGAAGGCCTTTGATCAATACTTATTGTAGTAGTTTTTTTTGCAGGTTTTGTATGCAATGCTTGTCAATATTCTTGCCAGTAAGAATTGTGAAGTGAAAGAAATTGATCCGCCAAAGATTGCATTCTCACTTAAGCCTTAGAGATTTTCGTGTAATGCACGGTTAGTAACTTTTACGTTCCTAAATATAGGTGTGGTTTCTATCCATGCTTTCCTCTGAATATTATCCCATGCTTATAGCTTACAATCTATTTGTTTTCACACATCAGATTTGTGGACAAGTTGAGGACACCTTACAACAATTGGCCTCCACACCTAACCGAATTGAATGTCCTGTTATTTATCACTTGGATGTTGGTGCCATGTATCCAAACATTATTCTTACTAATCGACTTCAACCATCAGCTGTCGACTCTGGTTCTGCTGCTAAGTGTGCCGACTGTGAATTTTACAAGCCGGGAATATCCTGTCAACGTTTTATGCCGTGGACATGGCGTGCAGAGCTCTGGACAGCTTCCAGACCGGAAGTTTATCGAATCCATGCTCAACTTTCCCAAGAACGCTTTCCCATTAAATTGACTGACGCTAATGAAAAGTTCATCAAGACTGTAATGAAATCATTTCACGAATTGTCAAAGGAAGAACAAGCTGTAGTGGAGAAAAAGCGTATCACGGATTATTGCCGTCGAGCTTATAAACGTATTCACTTAACTCGAACTGAAGAACGCCTTGCTATGGTCTGTCAACGAGAAAATTCTTTTTATGTTGATACAGTCAAGGCATTCCGTGATCGTCGATATAAATTTAAGGGTTTGACAAAGGTAAGTATCCTGTAATAGGCACCAATGAGTACGTCTGACTGGAGTTTACATTTTGATAAGATGTTAATGAATGTAATGGTTACCCATAGTGATTTGAAGTTGTGTCGTGCTAAAATAACAGTGCACATTTTTGGACGTATTGTACTCATTGACGAGGGTTTCCATAAAAATATCTATAGTGCTGGTAGTATTTGCTGCAGAACATTTCCCATATGTCCAGTCACCCTATTCCGAACATCCTAGTTAATTTTAACGCAATACCTTGCTCCCGTTGTATAAGAAGTCAAGGAGTAGTTGGTAAAATAATAAACTCTCCATCGGGTAAACTAAATGGTGAGTAGGTTGCATATTGACTTCAATTTTACAAAACGAAATTGTATCGTCTATGCAGTCCAGGTAAAATATAAGATCATGTAAATGACTGTTACGTACAAAGTTAGCAAACAAACTTGTTTAAATAGTTGGTACATTATTTGCCGACGCTGGGACTGGTTGGAAAAAGCGGAGAGGTGGTCAGTATATGACATGGTGTCGGGGTACGAAAGAAAGTTGCAAAGGGCTGGCTTCTGTTGGTTCTTCAGGACTCCCTGGCTGGTGTCCGAGAGATGGTGCTACACAGTGGCTAGAGACGTTATCAGATATGGATCAGAATAGAAGCCAGTGACAATCCTTCTGTAACCATTTTTACCTTCTTCATAAAAAGTGGTTGTATCTTCCTTAACTGAAATTCGTCTGGTTGTACCTTTCCGTTTCCCCCATTATTATTATTATTATTATTATTATTATTATTATTATTATTATTATTACTTTACATTACCTTACACTGACCTCGTCGTTATCGTTCTTTTTTTTCTTTCACACTTCCTACCTTTTTTTCTCTTCTCATTCTCATTGTTTTGTGTGACACATATATATTTGGTGCCTCCTTGTACCAATATTTACGTGTTCAAATAAATAAATAAATAACATAGTTGGTGACGAGTACTCGTGTTGTTTCTGCTCTTCGGATAGATGTTGAAGAATGATAATTGATCCTTACTGTATGGTTATCTGATGCACTGGATAATACAAGAATCCTCATTGAAATGTGGTTGGAGGTAAACGGCAGGAAACGCTTTATCTAGATTTCATGTTAGTCGACATTCGTCAGTAAGATGTACCTGTGACCATAAGGGGATTGATGCCTCCTGTGGGATTCATGCTCAGAGAACCCACTAAGGACTGTACAAACATGACATTAGTCACCAATCTGTAACCAACCAATAAGCACCAGGATCCTCGTTCTTGTAAGCTGGAACAGCCAACCTTTAAGAATAGTTGAACGATTAGTGTGTGGCTTTCATAAACTAATAAGTGCTTTTATCCACTTAGCTAGCAATTCGCTTTCGGACCATGACTTTACTCTCTTGTTTCTAACACTATCCAGACAACCTTTTTGGGATGTTAGGAGCTCAGTGAGCATGTGTTCCATCTGCCTATCTAATCCCGATCAGCACATAAAAACGGCAACATTCGTTATATAATGTTGTGACTGAAAATAATTTAATCATGCTCATTATTTTTACTTTTTAGCTAGGGGTTGACTTATGCTCAAAAGTCTAGTTGTTTTCATGTAAATGTGGTCTCAATGAATAAGGCCATTTCATCCTTTGACCAGAAATCGATACTGGGTCGTGTTATCTACGGTTTTCAAACATGGACTTCGATTATCCTGTGCTCTGGCATGTTAATCAAAACGGTATAACAGTTGTGAGGTCTAAAGTTTTTAGTCTATCCTATGATGAATGACATCTTTTTTTCTGTTTGTTTTCCAATGAATTTTGGTCCATGGTGGAAGCTTTTATCTGAGTAATATGTATTTACATGAATCATCTTTAGTCTTTCTGTTTGTTTCACAATTTTTATTGCAGTTTTCTTCTTTCTTAGACATGGAAGCGTCATTACGATGATGCATGTGCAGCTCTGTCCGCTGGGACAGGTGATTCAAATGCTGTAAAAGAGGCTAATGCGATGCTTGTATTGTACGATAGCCTTCAACTGGCGCATAAGTGTATTCTAAACTCTTTTTATGGCTATGTAATGCGACGCGGTGCCCGTTGGTATTCGATGGAAATGGCTGGCATTGTCTGTCATACTGGTGCTAATATCATAACTAAATCGAGAGAAATAGTAGAACAAGTTAGTTGTTTTTCTTCTAAACTTTGTAATATTTCTTTTTTGAATATCTCAGTTCGAGTGTTCTTTTAACCAAAATATGCCTATAATCTTTTCAAATAGAACTCTGAACTGCTTTTGAGGTCCAATATGAGTGGATTTGTTCTAAATTTAACATTTAAATGTTTTGTGTTTAAACCTACCATTCCTATATGTAAACTTGAATTTTCGAGGTTCTCAATAAATAAAGTCAAATACGTTATCGAAAAATAATTTGTGCATGAACGAATACTAAAAACTTGTAAATTCTTATGTGCTTATCATTGTATTCGTTTTTGTTAGTGGGATGCAGTTTGTTTTCCGAATAAAATCTCTATTCTTATGATCCCAGCCTGACTTCGCGAGATAATCACATTATTGTGAAACCTGCTGGATTGTCACTCCTCACCATGTTTCAGAACCTAAAACAAATACTGTATTTAGGGTTCATCATGACGTTTGACGTTGACAAACATAAATGTTATTACGGCAAAGCATGTGTTGCATATTCCCTTTCTCCTTGAGAATCATTATTTCTTGCTTTAATCGATTTGAAGTGTCCGAATTTTGTTTCCATACTAACTTTTTAACAAGTATCTGTTATGGTTTATACTTTTTATACACTGTCGGTTTTTTAGCATATAAACTGTTTAAAAGAATTTCAAACATTAATTTTGATCCGTTCTACTCATTATCCGTGCAGTATCCTCAATGTCGTTTATATGTTAAACCTCCTACCTATTTCTACCTCATAATACACTTCGCTGATGTTCTGTGATTATACCACTAGTCCAGTTATATGAATAAAAGAAATCACGAACATATACTTTCTGGTTCGTTATAAATTTTCTAGGTTTCATCCTACATTAGTGATTGAAATTATCTTTTGTCTCTGGGTTTCTTTTGTTGACAATCTGTTTGGCCTTGTTAGTGTTAAGAATAGTTTAAACTTTTCTGTCGAATATGCGTCTCTCTGACCTGAGTTCTTATTGATTTAGCGTTATTCAGTAAGGTAGATCCTTAGATATGTCTACGAACCTTTAGGGTGTACCATTTAACTAAAGATGATATTAAAGAAGATTATGGTTAATAGTAAATTTAATGCACAGATCTAAGAGAATAAGCAAAATAAACTGTCATTGTCAAAATTCAAAGTATTATGGAGTTCAAACGACAAGATAACAGACGTAGTTGATGTACATGGAATTTACGTGTAGATTAGTAAAAGCTTTTTGAAATAAATTCTTTATTTCAGTGCTGAATAAAGCGAGAAATAATAATAATTATTATCGAGTATATTTTGTCGTTCTATTAATCAGTGAATGATGTCATTTCGTCTGAAAACCCCCATATTAACCTAGGCATTATCAGCGTTTATATTCATGTTTTCCTTGTGAGTTAGGAACGGTTGGTTTATCGCCACTCAATCTTCTAGTAGTATAAAGGAGATTTGGTGTATACTTTTTTGCTAATAATCTGATTAAGTCACTTCAACTTTTTTCGACCATTCTCCCTCCGAAATTGTAACTTAATATCTGTTCCTTTAATATCTGTTTCTCTTGAGGATGTAAAAACAAATGAATCGTTAACAAATCTACGTTTGCCGCATTACGCGTCTGGTAATGGCTCGATGGGCGGTGTCTCGCACAGCCTATTTGACCTTAGTTCTCATTTAGATTTTGTCTGTAAAGCTTGGATGCGCTTTTTTATATTGTCAGTGTGTTGATATTTTTTTCTTTTAGATCGGCCGTGCTTTAGAACTGGATACTGATGGGATATGGTGTATTCTTCCTGCAAGTTTTCCGCAAAATATTGAATTTACTGCTGTCGGTCCAAAGCCATCTCGTATTTCGATTTCATATCCCGGAGCTGTATTGAACATCATGGTGCAAGATTTTTTCACAAATCATCAGTATCATGAATTAGTTGACCAGGAAACTCTCACTTACAAAATTCGTTCCGAAAACTCCATATATTTTGAAGTTGACGGTCCATATAAAGCCATGGTTCTACCTGCTGCGAAAGAAGAAGGGAAACGTCTGAAAAAGCGTTACGCTGTTTTCAATTTCGATGGGAGTTTGGCAGAATTAAAAGGATTCGAGATTAAACGGAATGGTGAACTACAGTTGATTAAAATATTTCAGTCATCTGTGTTTGAGGCATTTCTTCGTGGGGATAGTTTAGTTGAAGCCTATTCATCAGTAGCTAGTGTTGCTGATCATTGGTTGGATGTACTTTACTCTAAAGGAGCTGATATGCCAGATTCTGAATTGTTCGATTTGATTTCGGAAAATCGAAGCATGTCTAGAAAACTGGAAGATTACGGGAGTCAGAAATCGACGTCTCTAAGTACTGCTAGACGAATGGCTGAATTTTTAGGAGACCAAATTGTTAAAGATGCCGGTTTATCTTGTCGTTATATCATTGCACGGCAACCCGACGGTGCTCCAGTAACTGAACGAGCTATTCCTTTAGCTATATTTCAGGTAAACATGATGTTATGTTTCCGTCTTGAAGGCTTTTTAAATCTTAACGTTATTTTTATTGAATACAGATAGTATGGTCACAGAATATTAAGAATTTCAATGATAATGCGACACTACTTACGTAAGAACTCTGTAAATTTTCCATATCGTTTGATTCCCTTTGTTTTGGACTGTGGAACATTTTTCTCCACAGTTGGGGAAATAGTTATTCCGAGTATCTTATGATTGAAATTTCCCTATGATGATCACTCATGAAATTTTATATACGAGGACATATATAGTGCTCATGGATTCCCTTTCATCTTATTACTTTGTGATTGTACTCTTACTCTGTCACATCATATCATTAAGCTCATCTAATGATTAACATTTTACACATTAATTCAAACAGTCGAAAATTTTGTCGCATCAACCATAAAGAGCCTCGATAATACTCACTTTTATGGTTATTTTTACCTAGGTGATTGATAAAAGTTAGGTTGAATATTTGCTACCCTTCTCGGTTCTTTGTTTTTCCCGTTATATTTACTAGGCAGAAGGATCAATAAAACGTCATTATCTTCAAAAGTGGCTTAAAGATTCGAATCTTGATGAGCATACTGATATACGTGAAATACTTGATTGGTCCTATTATATTGAACGCTTGTCGAGTGCCATCCAAAAAATTATCACAATCCCAGCGGCTTTGCAGCAGGTTTCTAATCCAGTACCTAGAGTTAGTCATCCTGATTGGTTACTTCGTAAATTAGCTGAAAAAATGGATACATGTAAACAACGGAAGTTAACAGAAGTGTTCGTTTTAAAAAATCCAGTGACAAATAAACCTCAAGAACAAATTACTGATTTACCAGATCTAGAAACACTATGTTCAAGAAATGACGAGAAAGTTAAGTCTACCACACCCACCATCACTCGACACCCCCCTGTAAAACGATTCCGGTCACCTAACAGTCCTTTTAAATCATGGAGAGAACAGTTAGGTGAACCTCCAAACTTGGATGATGCTAATACTTCGAAAAAATTGACTGAATGGCTGGCGTTTCATCAAGCTAAGTGGCGTCTCCAATTAGAACAACGTCAATATTTCACTAAATCTATGTGTAATACAAAAACAAATGGCGATTCCGACCATGGTTACTCATTCATACCATCTGCTAAAAGACAGCGTGGTTTGGCCAGATATTTGAACCAAACTCGAGTAAATCTATTCACAGCCGTATGGCAGGTAACATATGTTTTTTGGTATTTGGCGTTTTTAAAATTACTTTGCTCTACAGTATTGATCCAGATATTTCTAGAAAAAATAGATTCGTTGCACAGTAACGTGTTATGTTCCACTAAGCTGATCGCTACTTGCTAAAACCCGGCCATCCCTCATGGAGTCATAGGCTACAGATCAGGGATCTCAAAACGACTCTGTCCTGGGCTCTTCTCTTTAGTTTATGGTCTTAAGGCCTGCCCTCAGTTATCTGAGCCATGTGTTTTCAGCTACCTCTTTTCCTTTGGTCCTATGTATTCTAGGACAGAGTTGGATGGAATAAGTGGCAAATCGCATAATAATAGTCACTAGGTTAAATGGAAGCTTATAATGAAAGGAATATGAATATGCATGTAATATGGTTACTTGACAATTATACGATAAGAATATATATAATAACAGTCCATAAATGGTTCCTAGCAGTTACTATTTACTTATTTTTCGTCCGGATATAACACCTTGTGATGCAGACTTTTGTTTTCCGCAGTGTGTACTATCCACCCTTTTGTGTCGTCTGGTTTTTTCTCACCTCTCAGCTGGTTTATTTTCTTCTACGGTAGGCTTTTACTAAGGTCTTTGACCAATGGATACGGAATGTGTTGGATAATTATTTTTTGTGAATACCTGTACTGTCTTGGTGGTGGTGGTAGTTGCCCAAGGTTTGGCTTCGTAAAATAGAGCTCATTACACATTAGTGTTGAAAATTCTGACATTGGTCTTGGGTGACCTTTGTCTTTAGTTTCAGGTATTCTTCAGTTTTAGGGATGTCTTTGACATCATATCTTTTGTGTTTACTGATGATGCCTCTCCAGTACGTAAATGCTTCCACCTCTTTCTGAGCCTCATCGTCTCTTGTGATTTCGTTGGTGTCGCTGTGTTCTACTTCAGGATTCTCTTTTTCCGGTCTGTTGATCTCGAAGTTGGGTGTCTACTGAATCTTTCATCCAGTTCAACAACACTATCGGAAACTTTTCCTGGTACTGGTAGTAGTGTGATGCCTCTGTAGTTCTCACGCTTGCTCAGATCTCGTTTCTTTGGTATCTTGATGAGATATCCTTCTTTCCAGTCAGTCGGTGGCACTTGATCCCCCTCTCGAATCTTTGTGAATAGAAGGCGAAGCATGTTTGCAGTTACTTCTATGTCTGACTTCAGTGCTTCAGCTGGTATATTGTCAGATCCTGCTGCTCTCCCACTCTTGATTTGTCTGATGGTCATCTAGATTTCTTCAATCGTTGATGGAGTGACATCTATGGGAAGGTCTGTGTGTGCTGATTCGATGTCCGATGGATTCAATGGAGCTTGTCTATTCAACAGTTCCTCGGAGTATTCTGCCCATCTGTCCCCTTGTTCTTGAATCTCGGTGATTGTCTTGCCTTCTTTGTCCTTGATCGGTCTCCCTGATTTACTATATTTCCCTGCTGGTTTCATCGTTGTATCATGTAGTTGTTTCATATTTCCTTCTCTTGCAGCTTTCCCCCTCGTCGTTTCTAGTTCTTCCACGTATTTCTGCCTGTCAGTTCTAATGCTCTTCTTCACTTGCTTGTTTCTACCGTATAATTTGGTTAATGTTTGTTCGCAAGGTTGTTTTTACGGGATGGTTTTGCTGACGTCATTTCCAACCCACCTTTTTGTGTGTTCATGAGACCGGCAGTAACTCTAGAAGAGCTATTGACGGGGTTTACTCTGTAGTAAGTACGTAGAAATCAAGTAGATTTTTAGCGACATAACAAATCTCTACGCATATTAGTGGGTGTAGACATTTATGCGCAGAGCGCAGCCGCTCCCTCTTTATGTTTGTGAAGCTCTTCTAAAATCATAGTCTACTAGTACTGTGATGTGCACTAAATATGCAGACAGTTGTAAGTAGTATGTAAGGGGAGTTGGAAGTAGAATGTTTACCAGCAGAAGAGTCAAATAAAGGGATGAAGAAAGAAAGCAAAGGGCTGTCGAAACGACAACAGAATCAGAAGATTAATAAAGTAAGGGACAACTGAAGGATGATATGCAAATGACGCATTTAGTGTATGGTTTTCATATTTTAGAAAGCTACTGTTTGATTTTGCATGAAACGATAAATTGGTTTTCCCCACCAAGTCTTCCTACACTACAGTACTTAACCATAGATGTCCCCAAAAAATTGTAATCACTAGGTGATGTTGAGGTTTAACGTAACTAATAGGCAGACGGTTGATAGGTCGATATGATTACCAATCGTCATCAAAGTAACTGGCTGGGAACTTATATCACGTGTGCCTGATTGCAGTCTACTTCGACGTGCGATGTTGTCTGGGATAGAAGTAGGCTAGATGACCTTGATAATTTATCTATCTGGGGTCCTCGCGACTACCCTAATCAAAAATTAGAAACGCTGGGTAAAATGGCTAGGATCCAGTTATGTGTCGCAGATGTATATACTCCTCGTCTTCCTTAGATCCTGAATTTTAAAGTTATTTTGTAACTTTCATTACTCAAAATCAGTCTTTCCTCTCTATACCTGCTATTTTAATATCACTGACTACCACTGCTAATGCCGCTACTACCATCTCGACGATTTCATCTCGCTGCACTGATGCACGACAACCTAGAACGATGCACATACGTGCCAGGTTCTACGTTACATATGACTGACTGATTTCATTAGGTTAATAAAAGACATCAATTTTAGTTCAACGCACGTAGTATGTTTTTACGTTGAGTCTTTATCCAAGTTTGTTTAATTTAATGGGACTATTGATAATATTGTGGTGCGTGCTACTTATATTGATATAAGTAGTATATAACGTGAGTTAAAAGAACGTAATGTCTGGCAGCAGAAGATGGAGAAGATCAAGAAAGGAAGAGCAAGAACACAATGGAATTTGTAAGAAATCGCATGAACAATGAAATGTGAGACAATGGATTGAGGTTTGCAACAGCAACAGTTCGGTTTGATATGATGGAATGATATTTTGCAAATTAACGATTTACTATATGGTTTTTCTATTTTACCAAGTAATTCTGTAATTTGTGCTAAATACAATTTGGTTGTCGTCGCCCGTGTTCTCCTTCACTACATTTGGTGTCGCTGCCTCCACTAAGGATGAAGATTCCATGGCCGAAGGAGTTTGAGGACGGAGATGTGCTGAGCTTCCTGAAGGAGTTTGAGGCCGTGGCGGAGCTGGTGGGAGTGAAGGAGCCGAAGGCGAAGTTGGTGGTGCTGGGGACGCTGCTGAGAGGCAGGGCGAAGGCTGTGTATGACAGCTTGGACGGTGCTGGCGGGAAGACGACATGGGAGGCAGTCACGGAGCGGTTGGCGGCGGAGTTTGACAGCCCAGTGGACAGAGAGGACGCGCTGCAGAAGTTCCGGTTGGCGAGGTTGCCGGTCGATGGTGACCCACTGGTGCTGGCTGTGGAGCTTACCAGATTGTTACGCCGTGCGCTGCCGAGTCTGGATGAGGAGTCGGAGGCACAGTTGTTGGCGTCACAGTTTATCGAGAGTGTGCCTGCCACCGTCTCCCAACAGCTGAAACTGGTGAACGCAGCGCAACCGATGGATATCAGTGAACTGGCGAAGGTGACTCGTCAGCTGATGACGCGAACAGTAGCTCCGGTCGGGTGCGAAAAGCAGGAGATGAGTAATGTCGAGAAGAAGATTGAGGAGCTGGAGCGTGAGATTGCAGCAATACGAGTGAACAATAAAAGGAACGATAAATGTTACGCTTGTGGAGGGACAGGACATTGGAAGATAAACTGTCCAACAAGACGAAGACGCAGATATGTTAGACGTTACAACGAGTGTTCTTTCTATCCTAGGAATCTGGGGATTGTTGCGTTAGTAGACAGAGGGGCAGTATATACGAGAGTGAACATAAATGAGCGAGATTTAGTTTGTCTGATCGATACAGGTGCAGCAGTATCGTTAATAGGCAAAGAGCAATGTAAGAGAATCAAGCCGTGTACATTAGCTGTCCACACGATAGGGGGCCATATGTTAGAGGTGTTTGGCGTATCTAACAGTATCGTAAAAGTGGGGGATGCTGAGATAAATTTTCCGTTCGTCGTAACCACAAGCTTATCGAGACCGATATTAGGAGCAGATTTCCTAAGAGAAGTAAAAGCGATAGTTGACTTAAGAAGCGGTAAGGTGGTCACGAAATATGGTTCATTGACAATACACGAAAGTAGCGAAGTGCTGAAATAAGAGTTGCAGCGGATGTCTCGTCAAAGAAATCAAACATTCACGAGTTATGCAAAAAGTATGCGAAACTATTCACTGGAGATGGGGAGCCGTATGGATTTTGTGACAGAGTAAAGCACGAAATACCGATAAAGAACAGTCGAGTAAATATATTTGCAACACGTCGTGTCCCGGTGCATTTAGAGGCCGAGGTAAATCGTCAGGTCCAGGAAATGTTAAAAGAAGGTATAATTGAGGAAGCGGACAGTCCATATAGCTCGCCGGTACTCTTGGTAAAGAAACCAAATGGAAAGTATAGATTTTGTGTCGACTTCAGAGAATTGAATAATATAACAGACCTGAAGCCTTGTGCAATGCCAACAGTGGTGGAAACATTAGATCGGCTACAGAATGCCACGGTGTTTACAGTGCTGGATTTACGGTCAGGTTATTGGCAACTGCCTATAAAACAGAGTGATCGAAGCAAGACAGCGTTTACTGTACGTGATAAACAGTATCAATTTAAACGAATGCCGTTCGGGTTGGCGGGTGCACCGTTCACGTTCAGAAGATTAATGACACTACTGCTCAAGAATCTAGATAATGTCGAGGTATATGGCGACGATGTAGTTGTGTACAGTCAAACAGAAACAGATCACATCAAGCATGTGGAAGCGGTCTTAAAGCGAATTGACGAATTTGGACTTCGGATTAATAAGGACAAGTCGCAGATAGCGAGAAGTAGCGTCACATTGTTGGGACATAAAGTGGGAAATGGAGAAATAAAACCATTGCCGGAGAAAATTCTTACCATAAAAAATATTGCAGTACCTAATTCGAAAAGGAAGTTGAGACAGTTCCTGGGAAGAGCGGCGTTCTACAGTCGGTTTATCAAGAATTTCAACGAAATAGCAGCACCCTTATATAAGTTATTAAGCAGCACCAAGTTTACGTGGACTGAGACTGCCGAACAAACGTTCAACCGAATCAAAAACATGCTAGACGATCGCCAGATGACGCTCAGACTGCCTGAACCGGGAAGACTGTTTACAGTGGCCACAGACGCGAGTGATCATGGTATAGGTGCTGTGTTGAGTCAGGCTGATAGAGTGGTGGAATACGCGAGTCGCGTCCTCACACCTGCTGAACAGAAGTATTCAACCATCGAAAAGGAGTGTTTAGCGATCGTGTGGGCAGTGGAAAAATGGAGACCATACCTTTTAGGTAGACGATTTCACATTGAGACCGACCATAAACCCCTGCAGTGGTTGAAAACAGCAAGAGACCCCCGAGGGAAGTTGGCGCGATGGATGATACGCCTGCAAGAATACGATTTCAGTATCGGCCATGTTCCAGGAAAAGAAAACGTAATGGCAGATTACTTGTCAAGACCAGACATGGAAGCCGACCTGCCATTAACAGCATACGCGGTGAATAGTTTAGAGGGAGACCCATTAGAACTCGTCCGGCAGCAGAAAGCTGACCCTAACCTTCGAGAGGTAATCAGAGTGATAAAAGAGGGAGCAGACGTAGATAAACGAACAATGGACAAGGAGGTAATAACGCTGCTTCGGCAAAAGGAACGACTGAGAGTGAACTCATATGGAGTGCTGACCTGGCAGGACGATGATGAGAATTGGGTGGCGGTGATCCCGAAAGACTGGCGGCGCAAAGTGATACACGAGTGTCACCAGGTAGCACATACAGGCATCGCAAGAACGACGGACTTACTACGACAAAGTGCATACTGGCCGAGCATGAGAGACGATGTGGCTGAATACGTGTTAACCTGCCAGCAGTGTCAGCTAATGAAAAGCGATCGATACACACAACCGCCATTACAGTCAATCCCAGTAACCGCAGTCGGTGATCTATGGTCGGTGGATGTGATGGGACCGTTTCCACAGACGGCGAGCGGTAACCAGTACCTGTTAGTGATGACGGAACATGCTACACGTTGGGTAGATGCCGTACCCATTGCAGACCAGCGGGCAAGGACAGTGACCGAGGTGGTAATCCGGCATATTGTAGCGTGTCACGGAATACCGAAGATGATATTAACTGACCAGGGTCCCTGTTTTGAAAGTGACGAGTTTAAAGCCCGTTTAAAGCAGTTTGGCATCAAGAGAATACGAACTACACCGTATCATCCTCAGACAAACGGGCTTACAGAGAGAAACAATCGGACGTTAAAGGAATGGTTAGCATCAAAAGGAGGAAATTGGGAGAAAGAGTTACCATTGATTTTGCTGGCACATCGTTCCTCCACACAAGGAACAACCAAGAAGTCACCTTTCTTGCTCATGTATGGCAGACAACCACGACTTCCAATGCATAATAAGACCTGGCCACAACAACAGAAGTGGACGACAACAAGGTTAAGAAAAGAGAGGAGAGAGGCAATAAGGAACGTGGAAAAGAAACAAATATCAGACACAAAGAAGGCAGAACAACAGAGGAGAACGTGGAAACCCTTTGCAGTGGGGGACCTAGTAAAGTGTAGAGAACGAAAAAGTAACATAGCAGGGGGAGCAGGGTCGGGGAAGCTGGCCCCAAAATGGGAAGGACCGTATGTTATCACGGAGAGACGCGGCTCGGTCTACACGATCCGGAGAGAAGACAAGCAGAAGCGCGTAAATGCTAGTCAACTACAGAGATGGTTTCAAGATCATCATGGGTGTGAATCACGAAAAGCACCAAAGAACACAGCGGTACGGAGATCAGAAAGACTACGACAGCAACTTGTTAAAAGGGGGGACGAGTGTGGTGCGTGCTACTTATATTGATATAAGTAGTATATAACGTGAGTCAAAAGAACGTAATGTCTGGCAGCAGAAGATGGAGAAGATCAAGAAAAGAAGAGCGAGAAAACAATGGAATTTGTAAGAAATCGCATGAACAATGAAATGCGAGACAATGGATTGAGGTTTGCAACAGCAACAGTCCGGTTTGATATGATAGAATGATATTTTGCAAATTAACGATTTACTATATGGTTTTTCTATTTTACCAAGTAATTCTGTAATTTGTGCTAAATACAATTTGGTTGTCGTCGCCCGTGTTCTCCTTCACTACAATATATCCAGTCGAACTAATAAAAGTTATATTCCCACCTTGAAGTATTATTGCCATAATCATTACTGTCACTACAATTTGAGCTGGTACACCATTGTTTTTGCTATCACTAACGGTTTATTATCATTTTGTTCATCCTATTGATAAGAAGTTGTACATGTTTTCTGTGGATGATTACTCCGCAATCGCTTTCGTTGTTTAAGTTGTCATCGAGACTGAACTTGTATGATTGTTCTTCACTAGTCATTTGAATTATATGTTGATTTATTTATAACTTAATTTTAAACATACATTGCGTTTAGTTGTATGAACAGCAGTTAACTACATTAATGTTGAATTACAGACCGTCACATGATATTCCTAATTCAAACCTACAACTTCGTTTTACTAATTTTCAAGTAATATTCGATACTCTCATGATTATTTGCCTGAGTTAGTTGTTCTTCGTACATTATATTACATGTGTATTATCCGTTGTCTTCCTATTATAGACAGATATTATACTTGTTACTTGTTTGTCCACTTTCTTACCTGCAATTTTAAGGTGATTGAGATTGTCCGGATCCTGGGCGAATTGGTCACTATACACTATGGGTTTTGATTAATTCACCTGATTCCGGGTTAGTTCCTTCGCTAAATGCTGTAGATGTAACAGTATCCAGAAATTTCTATGTTAATATGCGTACTCCCAAACCCAAGGACTCTGGCCCACTCTTCCGTAAAGTATCTGGCAATGTATCGATGGGTAATGAAACCAGAAGTGCAAGTGGTCTTATTCTCCCCAGAAATCACACAGTTTATCATCTATATGAGTACAAACGTTCCAGAAAGTGTTTACACTGAACACGCTCCAGAAATTGCTACAGATTTAGCAAGGCCAGATGTTGAAGGCGTGTATGAACTTGGTGTTCCAAGTTTATTTCGTATACTAATGAAAGTAGGATGTTTGTGTACAGTTGACCGGGAAGCTTTTAGAAATAATCAACATGGACCAGTTTCGGATGAAGGCAGTTTTAATTTGGACCAACTATGTTTCTGTTCTTTGGCCCAACATCCATATTTATCTGGTTGCGGTCTGAGGCACTTATTCTTATTTCACTATCAGTTGCCTTCAGTAGGACAGGCCATAACAAGAAAAGATTCACAAAGACAGGTACGTTTTACTGTTACTACATAGTTTGATACTTTCTCTTTAATAAATACATTAGTAAAAGGTGTTAGAAATTACGTCCATATGTTTGTTATTAGTGTAGTGAAAAACTGATGCCTAAAACTAGGTACTAAAGTAAACTTTGGTAAAGCGTACTGCTCTTTCTATCATCATATATATGAATGATTTTCTTCGGGACTGTTTATATATTTCTATTCATCGTTCAACATTGAGGTCGACAACCTACTATGCACAAGGTATCACTGAAAAGTCAACTTAACTTGACGTCTTGGTTGAGTCTTATTCAAATTTCGGAGGAGTACTATGTGGTCTGTAGTTCCCTTATAGGATTTCCATCATTACTTGTATAAACAATGATAGTCTTCTCATATATTGAACATTCAAATGAATTTATCCATACACTTTTTTATGATTTATTGTCTTCATGTCCATGCTTAATAGTTCTGTCACAAACTTCTAAGTTCATGGCAGCTAGATAATAAATTCACAATATTCTATAAACATTTACAAATGTTTATGTCGACTAAAAACCATTCTATCAAATAACTTTGTTTTTAGCTTTACCTTTTGATTGTACCATGGACTAGGTGTGGTTATGTTTGTGTAATTGATAGTGCAAGAATTAATCAGCTACCGGATTTAAATGTTTTGTATTTGAGACAACGTACTAAATGTTTTCCTCAATATGAAAACGAAGATTTCCCTCCGGATACTTTAAATTTTGAAGTGCGCACTGAATCAGATGCAGTTATTGGTCGTCGAATAGTTCAACGTTGGATTACTGGGCTATGTAAAAGTATGGGTGCACGAGAGGCAAATTCCAAGGAAGCAAACATAACTAGCTCTCAGTCAGCTGCACCAATTGTTATTTTGCTCCATTCTTCTCTATCTGCTACACAACAAGATATCTCAAGCGGTTCTAATGAAGTGAATTGGCCACTGAATGGTGAGATAATTGGACGTCGTCGTAGCCCTCAACTACCTGTTTTATCTGAATTTCCTGTAATTCAGCTTGGTGGCACTATGGATGATGGTGAAAGCCAAATAGGCGATGTAGAGTATAGCATGGACGCCTATAGTCTTTTAAATTGGCAACAAGCGGCTGTAAAACGGGGTATTCGTTATTTTTACAGGTAAGAATTTATCTAATGGGTCGTATAAACTTTTTTAAGAATCATGTCATCTTATTAATGTTCGGCATATAAAGAATAAACCCGGCTTTTTTATCGTTCCAATTTAATGTGTATACGAAAATCAGTAATAAATTTGTAATATTCACTACCTTGTTACTCTTTGGCCACAAAATTAGCTTTCAAGCCTGTGAAAATTGTTTGATTTGGAGAGTTTATACTACAAATTAGATTAATATGAATAACCATTAACACCTAAAAAGCCATGTGTCAGTTATTCTGTCTTGGTATGGAACTTCTCATCAGTGAACGTAAGTAACCATACTGAGGATCAAACCAAAGGAATTCCAGCTTTTCAATACATTCAGACCACTAAGTTCCCCACCAATGGTCCACATTTCCAGCTCACTACACTGAGGAGGTCCGTAATAGGATAAAATGTTTTCAGTGCTTTCTAGATTTTGACGACTGTCTAGGTGATATCAGTTTACGGTGTGAACGAGTTTCTCATCATTATTACCCATATATTACCTGAAGACAAACTAACACTGAAAATAAATAACATACCACTAAATCGTTCTTCTCATTAAGTTAGTAGCAGATATTTATGAGAACTAGTGCATCGATGTCTTAAATGACCTCTGCAGTATAAAATCCACCTATTTTGTTCCACTGTTCTAGTTAGCATAATCTCCATATCAATCTAGGTTAATTGGTTAATAAATAAAATGACATTTTTGGAATCTGAACACTACACTTAAGTTCTCAAGATGTTCAGTCCTTTTTTCTGACAAAAGGCGAAGTATTACCAAAGCTTAATTACAACCGGAGGCAGTGTCATAAATCATGTAGATAAAAATTCCCCAGTAATTACGAAGAGGTTATGTGTTTGAATACGTAATTAAGTAACTGTGAAAAGTTATTTATTTATGATTACAATTGATTGGTGATGTAGTAAAAAAGACTAAACATAAAGTGTTTATTGAAGTGTCCGCGCTTGTCGATTTCGATAATCAAAAAACAAAGGTGAGTAGTGAAATGAATTAGAAGAAGAATGTCATTAACAAACTTAGTATGAAGAGTACTTATTTCTATACATCTGGGCCCAGTTAATGTTCATCGATTTGTATAGAATCGTATCCCTTTTGTTCTAGATTGGTCAGTTAGTAAGTTTTGTGTGAATTCACTCATTTTCAATACAGTTTCCTCATAAACTGGACCAATTCTGAGGAAAATATTTACTAAATAATGTAATATTCTTCAAGAGATAAGTGCTAATCTTTTAAACTCACCAATAATAATTCTAGTCTGAAGCACGTCTTGAACGTCAGTTGGAGTTGGCGCGTTATTTACACATTCCTGTTGGAAATATACCAGTTTCTGAAGCTCCTTTACCTGTTTCGTTGACTCCTCCAAGTCAAGATATTCAACCTCCTGCCAGCTCCATAAATGCTATTGAACTGGGTTGTGATCTATTTTACGCTAGACATTTGGTTAAGCATAATCATGTTCTTTGGTGTTCGTCCTCTGGTCGTCCAGATTTAGGTGGGAAAGAAACAGACGATCAACGTCTTCTACTTGAAATGGAAGAATCTGGAGTAAGTTAATGTCATAATTTAAAACACATTTTAACAAATAAGTGAGCGTATGATGAAGTCATTTCTTATCACTTAACTTATACGATCTACCACCTCGTTTATTTGCTTTTTGGTGTCCACATTAAACAGTTTGTTCAGCAGTCAGAACTGAAGCATTGCAGGTAGGTGGAGTAGAATGACTCTTTCTACTCAAATCTCAACCATTAAATCCCATGTCCAAAACTGTGCTCTGATTACTTTGATTTGAATAGCTTGATAGTATCTCAAGCCTTCACAGAATTGGTGTGGATTCAATGCCTAGTGTTGAGATACTTAATGAATTATTATTATTATTATTATTATTATTTTGACACAATGTTGTGCAATATTGTCAGTGATAAATGTTCTGTAACTTCAATCGTAAACAAAACCTATGAAATTCCTCATCTACCTTAGGTTTAGTCCATGATAATGTATTATGCTTATCTAAGCTAATCATGAAACCGTAATTACTTCATTATAGTGAATTTCTTCATTGCTTTAGCACTGTACTTCGTTTTATACCCGTGTGGTTCATCTTGTTTGCATTAACTTTAATCTTTATTTCCACTATCAGCTTTTTGTTTGAAATTCTTTCCTGTCCATACTATCTTGAGTTACTGGATTGTTGATTTGTGGTCATGCCTGAGGTCTTCATTGGGCGAATCAGATTTCAGTGCACAGAAAAATCCTTTAGTATACTCAGTTGTGATAGGGCTTGTTCAAACGATGAAACGTCTCAGCGTCGATTCAGGTACACTTAGTAACGGAATTTCCCTTCACTTCTTCTACCCCCCGGCTTACTCAAAAGACAAATCTACCGGAAAAGATTGATTGATCGAGGACAGAGAAGAATTAATTCAAAACCACTCTGATGTAATTGAGTATCGTCATGTAATTATAGTGAACAACTGAACGCCGCTTCAATAACTCAGAGATTACTTGACAAAGTTGCAAGTTCACTTACATGAAGTTAGAAAGTTATAGGTTTTCTCAATAGTAGTATAACTAATCACTTTGTATTATCCACATCCATGTATTTCCATGCACTGATCGATCTTCAGGCTAGATAATGTTGTTAATTTATAAAAATGATAATTCATCAGCCAATTGTAATTCGGCTGGTCTAACTACAAGGTTACTGCGCACAAATACATTTACAAAGTCTTTGGCAGTAGGTTGAAACACTAGCATTTATAATGGAATAAGAAACTAGTAAAGAAGAGTTTCCCTTTGATGAGTGTTCGACTGAAAAACAGACTAGAATGTCACTTTAAGAGGATGACAAAATAACGCCATTGATTTTTCAGGTAAACTTGTCCAGTAAATGAGAAACTCTTTGATCACAGTTCGAACCCGTTTTCTCTAGTGCGAATCAGAGCTTCGTCAATTGTTTTGTCGGTCAACAAATTTTCTGTCCCAAACAAATTGTGACGTAGACCTATTGTGAATTAATATAAAACCAAGTTAGGCTTAATACCTAGCTGTGAGCTCGTTGTAAAACGTATATAAATTAGCTCCGTTTACAAAAAGCTAAACAAACGCGGATGAAATCGTCTTTTTGAAACGTTCCACCTATTAACACTGGAATTTTTAAACTTCTTGTGACTCGTTAACGGACACCAGTTTTTTACAGTTAATTGCTGATACGATAATTCTCACAAGTCCTTCACAAAACTTGCGAAGAATGCGAATCCTTCCGGTCACAGTGAGCTAACAAATTGGAAGTAGTAGCTGCATCTGACTGCTCAAACTATTAGTGAATGGAATCTTCTTGTCAGTGAGACAATCTGTAAGGCTGTCAGGACACCAAATAATAGTCTTTGGAGGCACCTCAAACGTTGAGCAGAGCACTCCAAAGGATATTTTTATTGGTCAGTTATTTCAGGCCTGTTATCAGGCTTACTTGAGTTCCTTGGTGTTCATATATACATTTTTCGTACTGAAACTGTAGCACTAAGAGTTTTATCTCTTATGAATAAAATACTTTACTACTTCCTTTTGATTACAAGGTTGTTTTACATACCTTCATAGGTAGTTGAAATCAATCGACCTGGTCTTTATCCATACGTCAATGTTGAATTGGAATTCACTAATTTGGCTGTAAATACTTTGATAATAGCAAATCGTATTCCAGAACTGGAAGGTGCTACACTATTGTCATTCGACCGTTTATCTGCTGCAGATAGAACTCTTGAAGAGCAGTTAAATCAAGGTGTTAATTTAGGTACACATATTACAAGCTATGATGAAACAGCTGCATGTAGTGCTGCCTTTCGCATTCTTCGGTAAGAAAACGGTCAATATTCCATTTCGATTCGTCATCAAATATTAGTTGCTATCATACTGATTTTTATACTATCCATGGTACAGATAATAATATTATAATAGAACACTGTGATTGTAGATAATCGATAAGATGTCGATTGTGGATTTCGAATTTCATCGGTACATTAGAAAAGCTCACAGTGCTTGGAAAACTCCGAACCTACTTGTTCAGTTTTCATAGAGCTGATAATGTCAAACTTGCTAATTCAAACAACCAGGCACTTCTGAAAACCTGATAAACTTTACGTTTCTCCTAACTTCCATGGTAGTTTGTTCGTCTCACCATTTGAATCTGCATAAAAATCCTACTCAAATATGCTCATACTTCAGAACTTAATGATAAAGTTAAAATGAGTATCAACTCCTGCCTATTTTCTAGAAACAAGTGTGCACCTTGATTCACTAAAGACTTCATCTGAAACAAGTATTTTAATAGAGCAGATTTCTTCACTATAATAAGCTTGCATTTCGTCTTAAGTAAGCTTGTATTCCGTCTTCATCATTTGTGTAACACGTGTAACGTATAATTATTATCTTTCTCTGTAAACCATATAATCCATTCGTTATAACCTATGCTGTTCAATTTAAAAGTTAGTCGTTCTTCTTATTTTAGCTTCCTATTCGATTGTATATACACATGGGTGAGTTAGCGACAACCGACAACTCATGTGAACCAATGGCGACTCCATTGTTTCTTTAGTGTAAGGTCCCTTTGATAATGATCATTGTTGAGTCCTAGTATAGTTTAAAAGGTTTTTTTGTGATTAATCTGATGCCTAAAGGACATCTGATAGAGTATTACAGTTCTTTATTAGGGATTGGAAAGCTAGTGCATTACGACTCATCATAGCTTACCAGTCTCACTTACTGTGATTCATAAATCTTGAACTTTAAATCGTAATAATCTTTAATGGTGTTGTGCCATTTGTCTTGAAATAGATTCATTATACTGCTCAGATATTTTGAAAAGGCATATGTTATTTGTGTTTGTCAAGTCCACTGTTAGTCATATAATATACCCTTGTGGACCAGGGTAATTTTACATTGGTTTCCAGGAGAACAAGACACCATTCGGACTTTCACGTGACAACCCAAACAGTACAACTCAACCCCTTTTAACAGGAGAGCCAGACACCGCCCAGGCTTAAATTCTAGAAACCGAGCAGTATAGCTCAATCCCGCTTCACAGGAGAACCAGACACGGTATAGGCTTTAACGCTACAATCTGAATAGTACAGCTCAATCCTGTGGCGCAACCACACAGGTACCAAGCACCCTGGTGGACCGTTCGTATTATTCATATAAACATTCACATCACATGCATAGTTATTCCGACAATGATCGCGTGAATCAATTATGCACAGCACGAACAGGCCAAAGTTGACCTATTCCGCTTACACGACAGTCAAAGTCATTAGTGTTAGCAATGGCGACATGCCTTACAATGTCCCAATGACAATGGTCCTCGAGAGTACTGAAAAGCAACCACCAGTATGAATGAAATCGGTTAACTAGCAAACCAATTCTGTGCATGAATAATCAGCAAAACTTGCCAAAGCAATGCCGAACCATCCAAAATACCAATAGCGAACCTCCTTCCTCATATGAGACCTTCAACTCTACATAGCCATATCGAGCTAATGCATACTCAGTAAAACAGAAGCTTAAGATAGTGTTTGTTTGAGATATGAACTTGTTAATATAATTCAGTTATTTTTTTCGATGGAGAACGGACGTACACTAAGTGCTGAAACGTCAGAAATTCAGTTGACTACTCATTGGGGTATTATAAATATATCAATATTTTTATTATAAATGATCCACCCCATGGTTTTTTTGGAATCATCATGTCAAACTTTCTCACTGATCATTACAACATTTCTTGTATTTAGTAACATGGTTCTTGCTTGGGTTCGCGATGTTACACAATACCAAAATCCTTTGGCCGATGAACAAATCATTTATTTTTACCAATGGCTTCGATCACCTCGTTCATTATTTTATGATCCTGCTTTAAGACGTACTGTTCAAAAATTAATGAAAAAAGTAAGCTTTTCTATTTTGGTAATAACTATTTTTGGTAACTCACTGGTCGATTCCATCCTTCTTTAAATAAAATTCAGGAGCTTACTCTGTAATGAAAATATTTAGAGAAGTCGGTAAGTAAAACTAAACGCAGTTTCGCAATCTGATACCTCGTCCTTTTGGTGCTCTGCCATATTGTTTTGGGCTAAGAATGTTAATCGTTTCAGTATCATTCAACGTAGTTAATTGTACTTTCGTTGAATTTGTTTAAACGAACCACTAAATTCGACGATCAAGTATATATTACACTTAAATATAAACCAGTTAATGTGTAATGTCTTGACAGGTACTAATTTCTGTATTAGTTACAAAATACCAAATTTGAAAACGAATCGAGAAAATGCTTTAATTTTTTAATGTGCAATGTAGATAATTATTATTTTTTATTCTCGGTTCTGGATTTTTTCCTTTTTGGTTTATAGCTGATTACAAATATCGACCACCTAAGATTTTTTTAAAACAATTATACAATTCTTGCAATGCTATCGAGATCTATTATTACATGTTGAAAAAGTATTCATTGTGTCATATAGTAAACCCACAGGTCAATCGACTTGAACTTATTTATTCGAAATAGCTCATCGTTTAGATTAAAACTCAAGGACCTAGGTCTCCATAACTACTGAAAGATTAGGTTTCAAAACGATGGGAAGGCTTGTAGCTTATTTGAGTGCTTTTGGTGGCGTTTCGTACTATAAATCCAATAGTTTAATTTCACTTATTGTCTTTAGGCATGATCGATGACAGTAAATGCTTCTCAATCAAGCCATCGATTTCAAAGAGTACAAGTTCACGAAATATTTAGTTTTTGTTCACTCTGTAGTTGATTTATACTCAATACTTGAATCAAGATTAGTTTTCGGTTTGCTTTCAAATATTTCAAATTAATTATATATATATACTCACTTTTTCCTCAGGTATTTCTTAAATTGGTTGATGAAATAAGTCACTTTCATGTGGACGTAATCTATGCAAATTTTAGTCGCTTAATTATGTCTACTCATAGAATTGAATTATCTGAAGCTTTAGCACGCGTAGATTATTTTACACAATTATTGCGTACACGCCAAGGAACTCTGTTCACTCACCTGGACTTGCAGTATGTAACTAGTTGGCGTCAGTTAATTTGGATGGATTCAGCAAATTACGCTGGTATAAAGGTTAGTTATGTACTGTTTATTTTCCGGTTAACGATTTAATTGGTTTTCCTGGGATTATCACTAACCGCGTATTTGTTTTTTTGTCAGATTTCCAGTCATGTCTGACTAATATTGCATAAAGAACATGTTTCACATCCTTTGAATCATCACCATAGATATTGTGGTAAAACAAAGTTGGAGAAAAATTAACAGTGCCATTTATTACCACCATTGACTTAACTACTCCTATGAATCCGGTGTTCATCTTGCTGTGCTAATACGGTATGGCAACTTGGACCGATGCATGTATGTGCCTGGTCCTACATTGTAGCTGACTGACTAACTGATCAAATCAGTCAGTATTTGTTGGTTGGATCTGTGTTTGAAAGTTTTAGCCACCTTGCTGCGTTATTAAACAGTATTATTAAGCCTTTTATACACTTTATATCTGTACCTGTTCATCTTTCCGAGGTTAGTAAGATGATATTTTGCTGCAAAAATAAAAAAACACTTCGCGAGTCGATGACACATGACTTACTCTTTCTGTACGCCCGTTATGTTAGCTTAAATGAAATCCAAAAAGAATAAGTCTCGAGATAACTAAAACTGTATTTCACACCTAACATCGAGTGACTGATTATCTATATTTTTAGCATGAGATTTTGTTCTAGTTGCCCATGGCTTTACATACAGCTATTCCTTTTTGGTCACAGTCCCATTCAGCACGTATTAATATCATCCCATTCATTTTTTAAAACTGTGCTAAGATGGAAACATTATTTTTCCGAATTCAGCTAGCTAATTCCAATGGAATTGTCGTGATACTTTCATTCGTATTCTACCTTATCTTTATTTAAATATCTGTTTAGTAAAAGTTAGTCACTTTATATGTTAATTTGTGTCGGAGTAAAAATAAATGTTTTGTCTCAACTCGTGGATTTTGCACGGATCTTCTTATGGGTACTGTATCAGTGTTAACTAAAGCAGTAAATTCATTTTGTGAAATCGCTTATAGATTAAATCTAAATTAATCAAAAAAAGTCAGTTTCATTTTAATGCGATTACTTTGACTCATGATTTCAACCTGTGAAATTTCTAAAACTCTCCACAAAAACCCATTCTGATAATAACCAACTGCTCACTAGTGACTGACTTCAGGAAAATACTCCTGGAGTTCTAGTGAGAAGCCGTTACCAGTGGAGTTCAACAAGGTCTGTTGTGAGATAACAACTCACTGAAGACATGGTGTATGGTGGTGCAACTTCGTGGATTGGTTGAAGTTAGACATTAACACCATTGGATGCCGGCTAAGTGGTCTAATGGTTAAGTGCTCGCGCGCGAAGCCAGTAGGTCCTGGGTTCGAGTTCCGCGGGGTGCGGGATCGTGGATGCGCTCTGCTGAGGAGTCCCATACTAGGACGAAACGGCCGTCCAATGCTTCCAGGTTTCCCATGGTGGTCTAGCTTCAATTGACTCATGAATTCAACCTGTGAAATTTCTAAAACTCTCCACAAAAACCCATTCTTTAAATTATCTGTAAATTCATTTATGAAGTTATACGTTGATTCATTGAGCATAAAGATCGATTAATGGCTGTTAAAAATTCGTGATATTAGTGTTTCAACATTTAGTCTGAGATATATTTTTTCGTCTTCTAGTACTTCTCAATGGTTTATTATCCATTTTGTCTGCATAAATGTATGTGATTTAGTTGATGTAAAACTTTGTCCTTTGTTGACTTCTCATCGTTTAACTTTCATCATCAATAAATACATCTATATAGTTACCTTTAAAAAAGTATTTGTTTTTCTTTTCATAAAAATTGTGAGAATATCTTCACTTTATTATGAACCAGCCGTTTATTATGCCCGCGAATATTTCGTTCAAAGGTATTTCGAAGGTTGGACTATTTTCATACTTAAGTATCTGTAATTGCATGAATACTTCTGGTACTCGTTTTAACATTTCTCGTTTTGTAATGTGAATTTCTGATGTGGCGATGCTATTAGTAAAGTATGTCTTTCTAATACATTCTGGGCGTAAACTTTCTTCCCAAATCGGTCACCAAATGAAAACCGGGTCGCTTTTTGTATTCTCGTATTCTTCCTTCAGATATTAGAAGAGCTTATCGAATGAAAGTAAGAATATCGTTTATGCTATTTACTAACGACCCCGATGATCATTAATTTTATTATGCTTAGTACTATTCGACATTCACTGTATACTTTGGATGCTTTCACCTGTGTTTAACACTTGTTGGATATTATACCTGAACTATTCACCGTCTCGATCAGTGGGAATCGAATTTTCTTTTGCATTACATTCATCTCAATAATCTTTTGATGTTTATCAAGATTCTTTCTCTTCTCCGTTAAAATCAAAAGTTGAGATAATATTGATGTGGTTTATCAAATTTCCAATAATTTCATTGTACTCTTATGGTTTTTCCAACCGATCAGCCCAACGTAGTCCGTAAACTACCTTGATCACAAATTTATTGGTTAAATGGATTTTCTACCATCTCTTTATTCATCGTTCCAGGCCTCTGTAGAAAATCTAGTCGATGGTAAAGATGTTGAATGGGGTAAAGTGTTAACCATTCAGCATCAGTCTCATACTCATACTGAAGATAAGGAAAACAATATAGAAGGACAACCTAATCTTCCTGATCCCGAGGTTGATATGCATTGGCATTTAGCACGTTATTTACCTGAGACACGTGGTTTAAGAAGTAAATTTCAAAGTCTCCTGGCAGGCTATCTTTTGGCTATTTACAATGCAGTTCGAAATGAACATCGACGTTTGATTGAATCCATTAGTTGTTCTTTGGTAAGTCATTTTTTGTATGATTTTTATAATATTGCAGTTTACAACCTCTTATAAAGAGGGTTTGAGATGTTAACTTTTTAAATTTTTATGAAGGACACCCATTTTTTAATCAACAATTGTTTTCTTAGGCATTCACTTGATTTTTCGTTAGTTCCCCTTTAAGAGCCATGATAGACAGTTCTATACTTTTTTAGAATGAACCACACGGATCTCTTGAATTTGATGCTGATATGAATAAAGATCCTAACTGTATACATGAAGCGGAAACAACACCATACAAGTCAGACGCTACTGTCTCTCCTGGAGTTAAGGAATATGAAGAACGTTTATTTAGAGATCAATTGGCCCCAGAGTTATACAATCTAATTATTCGCCTACAACGGAAAGCTGCATGGATTGATCCAGAGTTAGTGAGAAAAACTGACCCGTCAATTGGTAATAATAGGACCTGCCAATTAAATAATGGTTCAAACATACCTCGAAATAACGATCTTGTCAGTGCTTACCTTGCGGAAAAGTCAATCGGTTCAGGCATAGAGTTCGATGCTACCAACAACAACAAAAACTCGAGTCCGAACTTAGTTCTACCTCTTTTACCTGCACATCAGGCTATTTATACTCTGAATTTCACTCCGCTTCTTGATTTCATCAAATCATTGTGTGAGGTATGTTGTTCTCTCTCTCTCTCTCTCTCTCTCTATATATATATATATATATATATATATATATATATATATATATATAATTATTACTATTAAGTTCAAGGTGTTGCTGCCTTACTTTTAATGAATAGCACTGGTCCCAGATACATAACTTCCGACATCATAACTATTGGAATTCGGGTAAATTTAGGTGTCTTCCTTCACTTGTTTTCCACCAAGTAGCTTTTGAAATTGGGGTATTAAAAAACGTTTTCGTCTTATTATTGAACTATCCAAATACCAAACAACTTTGACCTCTTTTGTCATCGAAAAAGAAAAGTTCAATTATTGTAAAGAATAACTGATGGTTCTCATAAAACGCGTCATTGATTCTATTAAACTCTGTTATCAATACTGTCTGCGATGTATCGACAATCAGGATTGAATCATTCGTCTCTTCAAAAGTGTATACACTAAATCCTAAAAATCAGTTCACTCGTAAAACAATTCATCAGACGCTGATTATTCATTTTTGAATTTTCTTCTTCTGCTCATTTTTTTGGTTATCATGCATCCTTTCCTTTTTTCGTAACGAAGAATTTGTTAAATCTGTCTACTTTGTTTGGACAAAAGGATTAACTTTAATATTTTTAATTCCTTCGACCATATATCACTAGATAATCTGTTTAATGTATCTATATATTCAAGTTATCGATTCGATTCAGCTGGAAATTCTTTGTGAATAGTAGTTTTAAACTCCCGGCTGTGTTAAAGTGGGCGATTTTTACAAGCAGCTGCAGATTTGGTCTATTGTAATCAATAAACCATCTTCAAGAATGATGCATTTCTAACAGTCATCCTCAACACAAAACAGTCTAAAGAGAATGAAATAGTTTCATTGGTCGCTTTTCGTATTAGGTGCTTTCATAAGCTACGTTCTGGAAACTATGCGCCACTGGTTTACGTTCGTTAAAGGATTTTCTCAAGCATCAAAAACATCCTAGTCTTAGTATGCTATCACTACGTAGTTCTAGTTTTTGTTTTCCGTTTTAAGAAACTGTAAGTCGCGAAGTTGAATTTTTTATTTGGTATTTGTTTTTCTGTTATCATACTTTTTTTTTCCTTAATCCTTAAAAGGTTTTGAGTTTACAGCCATTCGCGAAGTTACACATTGAAAGCATTAGACATGACTTACTTCGTTTAATAAATGTTGGAGAATTTTCACCTGAGGCCATTTGGATTGCCCCTCATATGGTTAGGGATTGTCCGTTGAACCAAGATCCAAATAAATATACTTTTGAAACAACTGCTATTCGTTCTCTACTAGTGTATCTCCCAGAGGTTGCTTGCCCAACGTGCAATTTTACACGGGACATAGATGTTTGTCGTGATATACATGTTGTCTGGATAATGGCATCTATGGATTCAATGCACATTGAAACTAGACAATCAGGTTATTGGGCTTGGATATGCCCACATTGTCGAACAGTTTATCCACGTGATAGGCTAGAAGAAGCGCTTGTTCAACAGCTTGAACAATTCTCACTTCAGCATTGTTTACAGGTTTGTTAAATCCAATTCTGCTATTGCAATTTTATTCTATTAATTGTATCTCATATTCCAGGTATAGTAAGTTAACTCTTTTTCTGTGGTTTTCTGAGTGTTTCGTTAATGTAGTGTTAGTTATACCTAAAAGTCTCAATCTTCTGAAAAGATGACTTTATAACCTTGGTGCACCGGATTGCTTAATTTTCAAAATCAAATTGTATCGTACAAATAAATCTCAGTCATATATACAAATACACAAGAGACCTCCTGGTCCGATTGCTAAGAGGTTTCTTTCAAACTTCTATTTCAACATACAGTAGGTTTTATTACACTTTCTGTTTTACTCGCTCTATGTTGCACCGAAGGTACCTATTCTTTTCACTCTTCAGTCTATATTTGCATAAGTTTCATTATTTGCTGCAATGTGTTTTATTTTGAAGATCATTCATGACGTGCATTTTCATGGAGCAGATTACTGAAATAGTTTGTTGTCACTATATTTTTTATCATTAATTCTTCTTTACTGTAAACCACTAGTTATTCGGATTTTTTATCATTCTGTCGTGCTTTATGCATAAATTATCGTCTCGATCATTAGATAAATATTACATCACTTTTAGTTTTGAAATAAAGGGAAAATGATTTTCATTCATAGTCATGTTAATATATATGTGACTTCACTTCTCATCTAGTTTGACTAATTGTGACTTTCTGACTAGCTTTCATTTTCGTCGCCGTATCATATCTATCAGAACATCTAGATGTTTTGCCAATAAATCAATGAATAATTTGTTTTCTTGATATTTTACTATAAATTATTCCTTCACGTTTTGTTGTCGGCCTAATGTGAAAAATCGAAGTCATTTATAGCTCCTTTAATGTTGGTAAAAAGTGTACTCTTTCATTAACATATTTTCTCCTTTTTTTAATATGTTTTGATAATTATATTGACTAACCATATGTACATAGTTCAGTTGTCAAGTAATCTACTGGTACTTGGTATTCCTATACAACTTCATTTTGTAATCCGTTATGGTTTTTCTATTGATGCCAGCTTCTGACGAAAACAATTTCAAATTTGATCGTGTATTATTTGAAAATTTTTGACGATAAGTGATTGGTTAAACGCACATGTGTGCATTAAATTTATTTTACTGCACTTATTTTCTTTGATAGGATCTCCAGTGTCCTAAATGTACTGTAGGTGGTGGGATACAGGAGTTGCTGATTGCAAATGGTGGGTCAGTTGCTCAGTGTGCTGATTGTTCTGCGAAGCTGACACTAACTGTTCCAACTGGTCATGCAGTTTATCGTCGTTTAGATGTTTATCGTAATATCGGCGTATATTTCGGTTTTGAATACTTAGAACAAATCGCTTATTGGCTTATCCAAGGATTACAGCAATAGACAGATTCTTCATCTTTTTAATATGAACCGATATGTAATGCATTTTTATAACACTATTTTTGCTAAAAGAATATTTTGTGTTGGTTTCCATTTTTATATTGCAGATTATTTGAAAATTTGATATTTTGTCTACCTTTTTCAAATAAAATAAGTACCCCATTTTTCTTAGTGTTCTTGTCTTTCAACAAGGAAATTTTTTGAAAACACTCGAAACTTTTTTCAATATTGTGTGTTTCACTGTGTATTTATTGCTTAAGATAAATGTGCTTGCATGATGCCTGAGGTTTTGATATGGAATGAATATTTGATTGTTGAATAAGTATGAACATTTCGTTACATATTGAAAGTATATGGGGTGCCATTGAAATCTAAATTGGACCCTTGAAAAGTCCACATACACGATCTCACTATTAATCCGCGTTTCCTATTTCTGTCATACCAAGATATAGCCTGATTTTCAATTGCCACATATTATGACTATCTCATTGCGTTAACTAATGATTTCAAGTAGCGACTTTAAATATACTGCTGAACGCAACCTAAAGTTCGGTTTCAACATTCCTGTTCATTGTGTTGGATCCTCTAACTAAACGAATATATATGCTTCACCACCAGTCATTACAGAACAATTCCCAAATGTTATGTATCTTTGATTCCATGTGAAACTCATTTATAATTAGATTTTTCATCTTTAAAACTATCATTGGCTTTTGTAGCTGACACGCAGTGCTCTTACAAATTACCAATTTCAGTCTGTGAGTAACCAGTAATTATTATTCGTTGGAGTATGTTGATTAAAAATAAAACGATTAACCACTAGAAGTTCTGTAATCTTGTTTTTCATAAGTTCGCCATTCCCACAAGTTTACGAACAGAATGAACTAATCACTTTTTAGTTGGAAGGTATAAGACTATCATAATAATTGTTTAAAGAGAAACTAGGTTGGTCTTAAACTGGCATTCACGGTTCACGTATGCTATTTTCGATAATTCATTAGATGAATTCCCTCCTGTCAAACTTACTAAAGCTGAAAGGAGCTCTTAAATAAAAGAAAAGCAAACCATTATGTGGTAGTTTTTTTTTCAAGTATGACATGTTTAATCTTGTTTGTTTATCTGTTTATGTTTTCGGGTTGTAGATTGTTGTGTGACATATATACGTACCATTCTTAGTGGTTTTACTCAAATTTTCAATTGTTTTTTCGTAATCATGATTGAGGATGTTTCACCGTTTATACAAACTGTGCTGGGTACTGGGTTAACATGGTTTGTAACTGCGATTGGCTCTATGTTTTGTTTCATCATTTCGAACTCCTCAACGAGTGTAAAGGTATGTTTTTATTTTATGCGGTTGTGTATTCTGATGAAAACAAGTGTGGAAAAATCTAGTCAGTCAGTCAGTTACAATGTAGGACCAGGCACATACATGCATCGGTTCAAGTTGCCACACCTCATTAACACAGCAAAACGAACACCGGATCCATAGAAGTGGTTAACTCAATGGTGTAATATATAAAGGAAAGATTTTATGTAAGGATATAGTACAGAAAGAATCTAAAGATCTAGGGACTTTCATTTGCGAAGGTGCACAATTTCTCTTTTTAGGAAACTTGATTAGTTTCAATATCCTCAATACAATTTTTTAAAGACATCTTTTTCCAATTAGTTTTGAAATTTTTTTTACCTAGTGATTGGATCAATTTCTTTTTACCCCAAACGTTTTTACGACGAATTCCTAGATTTTGTAGCTAAGACTTGTGATCACTATCTGACTTTAGTGTTTTATTAGACTTTTTAGGAATTACAATATAATTTGTTTGGATAACCAATCTCTTGGATACCCATAATTCATCCACTCACTTCGGTCCCATATGTCTGATTATATGTAGATGGTTTAGTTTTGTCTTGTGTTCGAGCTACATTACTATGCTTCAGTACATGTGTAATCGAACCAGAATTTCTCCTACTCCTGTTCCGAAGATTATTGTGCTGTATGCTGTTCTTGTCCTTACTTAGTAAAAAATATTTGCGACTACAACCCACTATGAATGATGCTGGCTAGCATAAGATTCCATTATGAAATCGCTAATGATATGACCAAACTAAGATGTACGGTCAATCAATGTACCCATTGAATGATAGATCAACAGGTATTGGGAGATGCAATTTTTCTGTTTTAGATCCGTGAGATGATGGTTATCTATGTTGGAAGCTTTAGGTAACGGATTAGAATTATTTGCAGTTGAGTGGACATTCATCTTCAAGTTTTTACTTAATTCTTCCTGTATTTTAATTCTCGACTACTACTGTCGAAACTTCCATTTTCATCTTGTTAAGTTCCTCTCTGTAGTAGTGTAAATTGTTACAACATAGGTCTTTGCATATATATATATATATATATATATATATCCAAGTACTTTTATATAAAACTGTGTAGTTTTATTAAAATTGATTTTGCTGTTTGTCGTCTCTATCTTATAATTTGTTGTGTTTAGAATCAGATTCTTGACGGCAGTTTGGGTTTTTCATCTGGAGTAAGTCTTACTGGTTTTCACGTTATCATCCCTAATCTGTTAAATTTTAACAATATGGAACAAGTCATATTATTGTACCACCTTAAACTGTTCAACTATATTAATGTCCGTACAATAAGAAAGGAGTTTTTAAAAAGTAAATCTAGTTGGCACTCATGATTATGATCAGAATTACAGTGTATCCCGTTGCTGGAACAAATAATCGCTTGGTAAATCAAATCATTTCCAATTTCTTCTCTCCTTGGCTGTATATACGTTATTTCATACGATTGTCAAATTGTAACAACCATTACCCCTCTGTTCCGAAGAATCACAATTCCAATATCTTGATGGTATCTGGAAACAAATCAGTTGAAGTTTTTTGTTCAGTTTCTTTCCCTTTTGATTTCATCGTTATGGATTTTACACACAGTGATAAATACCCGATTAATTTTATTATGGAATCCTAGGAATGGTGCTAAAGGTTGGTTAGACTGCTCTAATGCTTATTCGTTCCGACTTTCCAGCTGCATGCATTAGCTTTTTTATCTGTACATAATTATTCACTTTTACAAGCTGTGTTTATTAGAATTATTGGAATTGTTTTTGAATTATTTTCATCAATTTTTCACAGATGTATTGTAGAATATTATCCTGGTCAAAACAATTAAGCATGACTACCTTATGGTTGATTGTATAATTGCATGTATTGTTTTAATTTTGCATCAATAGATTATGTTAGCTGCATCATTCTGGTCCCTGTTAGAACCAGCATTGGAGATGGCTAAAATTGACTTAGGTCTAGGTGTATATTGCGTCTTCCCTGTAATGTGTGGATTGTTCATCGGTGCAGCGTTTGTTGGATTAGTGGATACTTTTTTACCTACCCAGGTAAATTTTTATTTTAGTCTTTGATTCATACTTTTCAATAATTTAACATGATGTATAGTGACAAGGTGCGTTGTTGCTTAGTAATACATACATATGTTGTTGAACAGGGCTTAGTTTGCTTGAGTTGAGTATAGGAAACCTCTTCAATTTTAGTGGCCTAGTATCTGATGAAATTTCGTCATAAAAGAGCCTTCACCAATTTTGCTAAATCTCACCACCTATCATGGGGAAAGTATCCATCTGTCAACCAATGGGTGAATATGTCCCTTATTAATTTTCTCGGTATTGCTTTACGGGTCCGAAACATAATATATAAAAATAGAAAACACTTAAGTTGCAAGTATTTGAATTTAGGTATCTTTGAGGCAGTGCTCGTACATAATGAAGCCACTGGGTGAATAATGTTAAGGTTGTGCATATAATACTAGATTAATTGTGAAAATGCAATGATCAAGTTGTAAACCCTTATCGACTTGAGATGGGATATATTTACAGTTACTTAGACACCATTTAATGTAGTTTGCAGAAAACTAGTAAGCTAGACAAGACATGAAATCAGTTCATGAGCTGACATGAGGTGTAGTAATTTGAGCTCGATGTACACTTGTGTCTAGTTCATCGTTGGTATTAACTGATCAGTGAGAATCCGCTGCTAATTGTGCAAAAGAAGAATAAACTTCTAATCAGAACCAAATAAAACTATGATTTCTCGCTAATCTTTCGCATATGTATGTTGATTACATTGGTAAATGTAGCGTTTTAGACAAAATACATTGATCTCTCTTTTTGATCTCAATTCTAAGAGCAGTTAATATCCGTAAAGCTGTTAAATGAAGACTAATATTCAGAACTAATATCGGCTCAAAATATACTTGTTTAGGAAAATTTATACCAAATTTCAAGTATTTACAACCCACATATTGATTATCTGTGTCACTTAAAGCAATATGTTTATTCACTCAGTGTACAATTGAAAAGTTATGCTGAAATTCAGAAATGGTCAAAGGCATTCTACAAGCTTTTGGTTTTATCGTGTTTATGTGTGGAGTATAACAATTACAAATAGCAATATTGAAACCTCTCATTTTAACTATAATATTTCTTGTGATTTTTAGTGGCTCGAAACGGTGCCTGTGGCAATTAATGATTCTTACTATTCAGTGCCTAATCCAAGCTCTAGCATTGTATTTGGTAAGTCATAATAATTTCTATCTAAATCTTATATAGATATTTACCTCCTGTTTATTTTTCTGCTCATAAAGTCACAGAAAAGCAAATCTATTGAGACATCTATTTTCGGATGACATGTATAAGTTGATGTCAATCAAAATTTCTGGTTTTACGTGTTCATTCCCAAGATTTTTACGTATTTGATTTTCAACTTATCATTTATTATATCTGATGTATTTAAAACGGATTATAGTGTAATTTAGTGTTTAAAACGTCGACTCGGAAGAAAATAAGAAAATAAAAATTAAATTAACAACTCACATCTACGTGAATTCAGGTGTTGTCGAAATTACATACCTGGAATTCAGTATCCAATATATTGAGTAACTCATATAATACCAGCATCTGAGAATTTGAACGTTGGCTTCAAAACACCCTAAACACCTTTTCCGAATAATTTATTTTGAATATCGGTTACTTTTTTTCTACATTAAGCAACTTTTCATACTCCACTGCATACCTTATAATCATAAATATTTCACGCCATAGATAAACTGTTATCTAACAAACTAGCTATTGTGACTGGAGTCGGTGGTTATACTAAGTTAAGTTTTGCAAACTTGGTAGTTTAACGTTTGAGGTCTAATTCTATCTTGTTATACTAAATTATCTCTATTACAGTGATATTTATTATTCCTCCGGAACTTATATATCTTTATTACTACTGCTACTACCAGTACGTAGTACATACAAATAAGTGAGTGTAATATACGATATTACTAAATTTCTGGAAGGTTTCCTTGTTTACGTCTGGTATTTCTTTTTGGTCCAACAATGTAGGTTTCTTAAGATGACTCATATTCACAACTACTTTTATCTTTTTGAATGTATTTGCTAGCTGAACTTAAATTGTTTACTCATATCAAGAACCTACTTAAACTGGATATTAGTTGAAAACTAGGTAGCACTGGAATGCTGTTTTGTCTTAGTTTGGGACTCCTCATCAACACCCGTCTACGATCTAGACAGAACATAAAACTAACAGAATGTCAATAAACATCCTGGTATCTCCTACTAATACTCATAAATGTTTTAATATTCTGTTTTAACGGTTGGTTTTCTACGTTTACACGAATGTGACGTTAATTTAGCTTAGACGATATATACACTAGATTTCCTTCCAGTATTTATACTACGGGACTTCAACACCACTCAGATCAAGAACACGTGATTAGCCTGTCTAGAACGTAAATATATTTCCACACCGAAACCCGACACAATCCAACAACAATGAACAACCAATAATAATAATTGGATAGGGGAATATATAACTCATCTGACACCTGTCAGACTATCTACATGTCTAAATGTCAAAATTTTATTATTAGAAAGTAATGCTCATATTCCATTAGTTGTTAAACTTATTTGTATATTAAGGTAAATCGTTCCCTTCTGAAACAGTAAAAAATATAACATTATATCTGGTGATTTTTGAATTGTTGTTTTTCTATGAGCTTAAATATTTCTCATGTATGTATACTTTTGAATCTCGGTTTCGCTTTCCTGGTGGAAACAGTCAACCTTTAGACCATGTTCGACTTGATCAATATTTTGACCTTCATAGGATTACTCAAATTGGGACTAGTATCACTATTTAGTTCTCTGTTCTCGATAAACTCAATCAAACTTTGATTTTAATTAGATATAATGGCTGAAATTAAATGTTACTGGGAATTAATCATATTCTTTATAAAAACTACGCATTTTTTAACAGCGGGACCGTTGCTTTATTTGTCTGCAAACAATCATGTTATAAAAATCAGTGTAGCGTTGTGGAGGTTAATTGAGATCACGAACCGATAAATGTTCAACCACGAACAAAAACCTGGAAGCACTGGACAACCGTTTTCTCCTAGTGTGGGACTCCTCAGTAGTGCATATCCACGATCTTGCACGCAGGACTCGAACTCACAGCCTGAACTTTCTACCGAGTGATTTTTCATTTATTTTTTTTGTTATGTCTCCAAATGACAATGTGGTCAACGAGTATTAAGGAAATGACACAAATTCCACTAAAACGGCTTTCAATAGAAGTTACGAAGTACCAATGGTGTAGTAATAAACATAAAAATAAAGAACCTAACTCGCTCAAAAGTATTTTCCCGAATTTAAATTTTCGTTTTGTCAATTCACCCTAATACTCGTGAATCGATACTCTGTGATTATGCACATAAGCTTAAAGAAACAGGTGATTTCTACCAAACACCTAATTCTCACCAAGAACTACTAGTCGAAAATCTCAGTGTTGTGCGAAGTGAAGTGAACGTTTGAGATCTTATTCTCATAACACATATCTTAACATTAAGCTATTTTTATAGGTAATATTATATAATAGAACCTCAATTGTCCACTTAGAGATCAAGTATCATGTTCTATTAGTGTCCTAGTTAGTTTATATCATTTTCGTAAACTAGACTTTTTATTTCCCTCTCGTTATTATCACGCTTCTATAAAGTTATTATAAGAGTAGGCTGGAAGAAAGCTGGGCACATTTAAATAAAACGCGGTATCAGTCCTTAAATTCATTGATCGTTGGAATGAACCATGTATATATGTTCAGACTACATGATTGAGGTAAGCGCGATTATCGTAACCAATCTTTAGAGACTGAATGACGAAGCTCAGAGTCTTTCACAATGGTGTAGGTGCATTCACTTTTATTTTCCTTAGAACATGAGCCCCAAGATCTTCTAACACCATTTTGTGTGTCTGATCTTTCTTATTATTACTGATATTGCTACTGCTTGATAGTTTGTCTCTCTGTGCTAGAGCAAGAGAGAGATGTAATACGGTTTTCCGAAAATTCGAGCTTGATACACCTAGGTATTAGATTATTCGATCACTGCGCTCAATACAAGATACACACTTTCGGATGACACTATTGAGAATCAGATTAAATTGGTAAAAATTTACAACATAATTACAACAACTCCACGCACTGTTTTGAATCCAGATAAATCGATAGTAGAACGAATTCAAAGTATCATATAGTCTTTTGATACTTCCTACAGGTGAATGTCTATCTTTGCTCGGCGGCCAGTCATTTCTTAATTTCTCTTGCCACATCATATAATAAAAAAATCATTAGGCGTATAAATTTTCATAAAGAAATGTAACGACTTACGATATAGGGCAATATAGAATGGGTACACCTATGCAAATAACTTTGAGCCCAGTCTTCCAGTCTCTAAAGATTGGTTACGATAATCGCGCTTACCCCAACCATATAGTAGGCAGTGGTTGGACATACGTAATTACATGTGCGAACCATCTCAATCAATAGAGATTCAGTATCTTATCACACCCCTCTACAGTCAGCTGTCCAACTTCGTCCTCGGCCTGAAAATATACTAAATCAAGACTCTAAACATATATATATATATATATATATATATATATACCTACGGAATCAGTATATGGCGAGTCCTTTGTCCTCCTACCCCTTCCAGTTGAGTCCAGAACACCAATAACGGCTTACACTGTGCGAATCATTTATTTCAAACATAATTGGTTTATATACCAGCCAAACAGACCACATCACACCACAAAATAGGAAGTAACATTTGCACAAGATCAGGCCAAAAAAGTGGCTGTCAACGTGGAAGACTGTAATTAATAAACTGGACATAGCTTAAGAACAGTAAATCGCATAATAATAGTCTACAAGTTAAAATAAAGCTTCTGATAAAAGGAATATAGATATACACAATCTACTTACTGAATAGTTATGCAATATATATATAATATTTGTTCATTAATAGTTCTCAGAAGTTACCTATAATCTAATCTTCACTAGGATATTTATTTATTTGTTTGAACGCATAAATATTGGTACAAGGGGGCACCAAATATATATGTGTCACACAAAACAATGAGAATGGGAATAGAAAAAAGAGGTAAGGAGCGTAAAAGAAAAAAAGAAGAAGAACAATAACAACCACAGATTAGTGTAAGGTAATGTAAAGTAGTAATAATAATGGAGAAAACGGAAGGGTACAACCAGAAGAATTCTTTCAGTTAAGGAAGATACAACCACTTTTTATGAAGAAAGTAAAAGAAGGTTACAGCAGGATCGCCACTGGCTTGTATTCTGAATCATATCTGTTAACGTCTCTAGCCACCGTCTTGCACCATCTCTCGGACACCAGCCAGGGAGTCCTGAAGAACCACAGAAGCCAGCCCTTTGCAACTTTCTTTCGTACCCCGACACCATGTCATATACTGACCACCTCTCCGCTTTTTCCAACCAGCCCGACGTCCGCAAATGATGCACGACGTGGAATTCGAATGGAACAATGGAGAGAGGTGGTTGTATACCCTCACTCTGCCTGAGGTGTTTGTATATAGGGCTTTTAGGATGTTAATAAACTTCTCAAGCACACCCTTCTTCAATAGACAATCCCAGAGAACAGTCCTGTCCAACGAATCGAAGGCAGCCCTGATGTCAAGAAACACTACGATTGTTGGCTTTTGATAAGTATGACGGTGTTCTAACATTTGGCGGAGGGTGAAGATATGATCAATACATCCTCGACCGGAACGAAACCCAGCCTGCTCCTCGCGAGTCAATCTTTCTCGGGTTTTGAACAACCTACGAAGTATGACGGAAGCCAATAGCTTGGACGCAATCGGAAGTAGACTTATCCCCCGATAGTTGTTACAGGAACGACGTGAACCCTTTTTAAAGATAGGGAGAACTATCGACTCATTCCATGACGTTGGTACACTCTCTAACTCCCAAACCTTTGTAAACAACGTTGTCAGTTCCTTAGTCAGAAAGTCACCATCATCTAAAAAAAGCCGGAGGTAAGTCATCTGGGCCAGGTGATTTGTAGCGTTTCGAGAGTTGGAGTTCCTTGCGGACTTCCGCCTCATTTGATGGATCAGTCGTCACCGGCCATGGAGAGCAGGACAGTCTGACTGATGTTGCCGGAGTAGCAGGCCAATTGAACTGCCCTTCGAAAAATTCTGCTCATCGTCCAAGACGTCGATGGATGTTAGTGATTGGCATCCCATCATCCTCGCAGATTGTTTCGCTCACACCAGACTTCTTGCTGCCAGTGGCTCGGATGAGTTGGAAGAGCTTCCGGTAATTACCAGATGCAGCTGCTGCTTCCAGCTCATTAGCACGCTTCGACCACCAGGCTTCTCGGTCCTTACGCAAGCTTTGCCCAATTTCCTTACGTAACATCCTTCGTTTATGGTCAAACTCACGGTCACCCGGAGTAGACCGACGGGCTTCAATGAGTTGTAAGGAACCTGAAGAAACCCAGTGCTTAAAAGCGGGACGTTTCTCGCACCCACAACCGACTTTTCCCGCCATTTTCATGGCGTCATGCAATTGCAACCAATGCTCATCTATACTTTTCGGTGGGGTGGTAGCTAGCCTAGAGGCTAGCTCGGTTCGATACTTACTAGCAACAGAAGTTGCAACCAGCTTGCTAATATCGATCCGTTGATGGCGGTCACTTCGTTGTCCACTGAAAAGTAAGGCAAGATTGGCGCAGACCAAGGCATGGTCAGAGTCCAGATAGGTACTCCAAAAGGAGCATCAGTCTTGTACACAACCACGTCAGCGGTAGCTGATCGCGATGTGATCAATCTGAGTCCAGGCTTGAGATGCGGAGGGAGGACGCCAGGTGGTACATCGGCAATGACTGTGCTGAAAGTTAGTGCTAGCCAGAAACAAGCCAGTTTGAATGGTGCACGTGGTTTCAGAAAAACTGGTTCAGTATTCGTATTCGGTGGTAACATACAAATTTCAACCGGACAGTGACTCGAGAACTTTTAGATAGTGTCGAATTTCCACCATAGACGAGCTGCTGTATAAGTCGAAAAAATAAGTATAGACAGAGTAGGAATAAAGAAGGGTGAATAATGTCGTAGTAAATAATAATAATAATAATAATAATAATAATAATAATAATAATAATAATAATAATAATAATAATAATAATGGTGGTGGTAGTAGTAGTAATAATAATAGTAATAATAATAACAATAATAGTAATGATAGTAATTTGAATCATTTGATTGTTATTCGAAGCGAGAAAAGTAGTTTCCATAGATATAGAGAGTTCATCATTTGCGTGTGGGCTATGATACTGCTCGGGTGCCCAGACCGAAGCAAGTGGTTATCTTAGGAGGCCACACCCCGAGCCTTTGGCCTAAAGGTCTAACCCACAAGGCAGTGGGGCATCGTAAGGAGATGCAGTCCCATGGTAGCCGGTGTCCAACGGTCGGTTCATACGCCATTTGTTCCCTCAGGATACTGGAGCCCATGTGCACCATTGGTTTGGGATCCGGTTAAAGCGTCTGACATTCGCTTTTCGTCTTGTCATTTTCGTAGACAACACGCCCACCATGAGAAGGCAATGAGTAGGACTTCTCTGGCAGAGGCTGTATACGCGTGGCACACTTTGGACCTTTGAAACGCAGCGTACTTTACCAAACTGAAATAATTATACTTCTACACTCACTCTTTGTGATGAGTTGTTAGAGTTATTGGAAAATTAGTTTATCTGTATGATTGTGAAAGTGCCGATGGTGCTATGATTAGTAATTGACCACCATTGTTTTGCAAAGATGGCTTACATCCAACGCAACACCATGTCAGTAACCCTCAGGACAGACAGCGTACATAGTGACGAAAACTCAATCGACGTCACGTTTTTGAAATAATGCTGCTGGCAGTCTAGGGATCGGTTACGAATACCATCACAAAGGCTTTGGCATCACATATTATTTACCGACTCTGATGAGTGAAAAAAGCAGAGTCAATCATTTAATGACGTGGCATCGTGATATGAAAGATAGTTATATTGGACGGACATCTGTTGATCTGTGGTGAATTCCCGGTTGGTGGTCTTAAAGATCATACTAGTTAGTAGCTCGAGGTGTCATTAAATATGGCTCAGAATAGAAGTCAGTGATAATTTTGGTGTAGTTTCTACTACATTCTTCATCAAAGCAGAATGAGCACTATTAACTGAAGTAAACCTTGTTTTGGATGTATTTTTAACTGGACTGTATCTCTTACTATGTAGTACTCTTGTTCATTTATTGATTAATTATGGAGTTCTTTCCTTTTCTACTTCTCCATAATATGATCGTTTCATTTGTGTATCTCTGTAATGTCGTGCTGTATTATAATATACATATGTTCTAAATAGCTCTGGCGACGTACAAGCTACTACTAAATTTGTTTTATTTTTTTTCGGTATAACCTGTAGATACGTCTATAAAACAACGTAACTATTTGGTAAATAGTTGTATGGAATCCAACATCAGGTATCGTTCTGAAAACACTATACAAGCATATCCATCGTCTTCATCGATAAAGGTTGATAATAAAAAAATCAACTTCCGAAAATGGTGATAACTCGTCGCTTATGGTTGTTAATCATGGCGATTACAGTACACAATATACCTGAAGGTTTTGCAGTTGGTATTGCATTTGGTGGACTTGGACAATATTCAAGAACTACTTTCTCTCAAGCGTGGTGAGTGGGGGTCACGTATTTTTAAATACCTTTGTAATTAAATAACTTATAGATTTATGACGAATACTGGCACGCTGTTTGCCAATTGCAACCTGAACTTCATTTTGCTTTGTTGTTGTACGAAATACCATTAGATCGTGTGTAAGATATTAGTATATTTAACTGCCATTACCTCGAAGGTCTTAGTCATTTTTCAGGGAACTACACTATGGTTTTTTTTATTAGATCGCAAATTGTAGATGATTGTAATTTGTACTTTACATACTCAGTAGTAAGGAAAAGGTGAAATGATATCTCCAACTGATAAAAAGAAGTACGTCTTTGACATCATATACTTACTGTCAATTTTGTCTTCATGTATTGCTGTAAAGCATAGTAAATGTAGAACCTGTTCATGATCCTTTTGAATGAACGTTTACTCACTCTCAATTGACATATCTAGTAGAGATCATTCGAATGTTGTAATAATTCTACTGGAGTATTTTTCTTATCTACTGTTATTAATTCATTAGTTTTTTTATATTTGTTCCAAATGCAAATCAACATTTAGAATATAGTTGGTAAATAAAGTTCTATTTGACTTCCAGTGGTGCTTTCTAGGTGAATGATCAAAGAATTGCTTAAAGATCATATTACTACTAACCATTATTTGCTAAATGCTTTTATGTTATCAGTACATAGACTGTTTTCTAAATAACTTTTCCATTTCTGCTTTTTTTTTCTACATTAGTAATCTGGCGATTGGTATTGCTATTCAAACTTTCCTGAAGGTTTGGCTGTCAGTTTACCGTTATATTCATCTGGATATGGATTTTTCATTAGTTTCTGGTAAACTCACTTTTTTATTATTTTATTTATCTAGTTTGTGCTTTTCGAAGGTTTTCATTCATCTTTAAAATTCGTAATCATTCACCACTTCTAGGCTTTCGAAAATTTTTAGTTAACTTCAAGAGCGTTAACGGCATTTAGTTATGATATTCAAATTTATTAATATATATATATATATATATATATATCACAATGAGTAGAAAATTTGTATTTCTGACTTTTCGTGACTTAGTGTAAACCACTTCTTCAGAGTAAACAAATAACCGAATTATCAGAGTTGGGATTTGTGGAGATTGTAGTATTTTAACTGTTGAATCCACGAATCGATCTTGGCTAGACCACCATTGAAAACCTGGAAGTAATGGACGGCCGTTTCGTTCGATTGGTCATGTACACCTTATTTTTTAAAAAAATAGCAGGCCTAAGCCGTTCCAATTTCTATGTCTGATTTCAATTTTAACTTTTATCTACATCTTTTACAAAGTTAACAGTTGTCCTTATTTCCTATCGGTACTGGAGTCGTTAAATCTTTTTAGGACTATTTTATTTTTAACTTTTTATATAGGTATGGACAATTGTCCGGTCTTGTAGAACCGTTTGCTGGGCTTATCGGTTGTCTGGCCGTACATTTTTTCCGAAGACTTCAGCCATATGCGTTAGGCTTTGCTGCAGGAGCTATGCTATTCGTTGTAGTTGATGATATTATCCCTGAATCTCAGTCCAGGTAATTCATTGTTTGTTTTATAACTCTCTGTTTCTCTCTGAACAAATCCATTCATTTAAGTATGTACAAGACAGATATTATATGTATCGAGTTAGGCATTCTTAAACAGTTATTTGGTAACTGAAAATTCAGTAGAAAAGTCGAGGGTTTATTGATATTATTGACTTATGAAGGCGTTAAAAGCGCATAAATATGAGGACCTATTTTTTTTAAAAACATTGTTTGAACAAGGAAGGTTAGGTTCGCTAACTGAAAGGCAAAGTATTTTTAAGACGCATTAAAAGTTTAACTGTGAATAAAGATGATTCTTCACATAGAAGTATTCGTTTTGAAATTTAAAGAACCTTGAAAAGGTACAGAGTTAGTCAGTGACGCGGCATCGTGATATGAAAGATAGTTATATTGGACGGACATCTGTTGATCTGTGGTGAATTCCCGGTTATTTCATTAATTCAGGAATATTTGAGTTAACCAGAATTACTCTTCAGTCATCAGTTGCGCATTTCATGCTACGTATGTTAGCAGATATAAGTATTATGTAACACAGATCAGAAGTGCAAGCTTGACAAACGGTGTATAAGTTTTGAACTTAAGGAAACAGAAAGGAATTGAGAAGTGGAAGAATCTTGAAGGATGTAAAGGATAGTTGATGGAAAATTTGCAAATGAAGTATTTAATGTATGGTTTTTGCAGTTCACTAAAGGATTCTGTAATTTTGCATTAGATAATACATAGGTTTTCCTCATTAAGTTTTGTTCACGATAACTATATAAGAGCGTTTCATATAACATTAACCTATTTGTAAATCTAAGTCGTACCTACTTAGGCGTGTCTTCATACATACCATTGGTGCCTCATCTGTAACTCATGTTAGATATTCATATAATCGTATTTTAATATTTGATCGATAGCTGTCTTTTCCCATTGGTTCACAGAAAATTGTATGTGATTTTTTCTGTTGCCTATCTTACGTAACATTTTATTGGTATTATCACTACTTTATTGTCTCCTTTTGTTCTGTCTTCTCGTGCATTTGTCGGTCGCTCTCATTTTAAGTTTAAGAAGAGATGCAAAGTAGCCTATTATTTTGTGTTATTTTTTTCAGAAAAATTTCATATGCTTTAATCTGTTACCATTATATTCATTTCTTATCCAGTAACTCTTACAACTTTCTTTAGGATTGGCAAAAACCTGGATAGCGGAAATAATTTTCACAATCAACACATTGATTTGACCCTCATTTTTGTCGAAACTTGGTGAAGGAATAACGTATCACTTGCATAAAAATTACATATCTATCCTAATTCTATGTTTCTGTATTTTTTCAGAGGTCATGGCCGACTATCAACTGTCATGGCCCTTATTGGCTTCGCTATTATGATGTGTTTAGAAGTGATCACAGAGACCTAGTGAAGAAAATAGTTAGGTTTCTTATTGATGGAGCTTAAATTTTCACTGGCTTTGTAGTTGGTTGACTTACTGCCCTTACCTAATACAATTGTCTGATTGTGATATAAAAACATAACAAATAATCCGTTTTTTACATGCACATATCAGTTGTTTGAAAAATGCTTACGTACACCTTAAAATATTCCTATTTTTACTGTTAATGGGTGCTTGTACCTTTAGTCTTTTGTACTCATCTCAATAATTTTGATCCTAATTTTTGACGTAAAGAACAAATATTTGGGGAAAGCAAATCATGTAGTTTTTCTTGTCTTCTTATGAATTTGTATTTTTTTCTGATACTGTTCTCTTTATACTTTAACAAAATTAGACTTAATATTGTCTCAAATCTTTCAGGTTTCATGTGGTTTGTTTGGGATTAGAAATCTGTCATGTATACCTCGTACTTTTTTATATTCATGAAGAATAAATAGTTTTAATTTTTGATCTCTGTCTTCTATCACTTTTATTTGGTAGATAACTGTTAGTATATACAAATTGAGTGATTGTTGTTGCTCAGGATTTGTGAAATTAGTGAAATGATGGATTGTCTGTATAATTTAATCAGTCTAAAAATACCTAATTCTGTGGGCTTACAAGCGATACAGAATTTGAGTTAAAGTTGCTGCCTAAACTGGTAACTTAAGTCTCTATTTGTGTCTCAATAAAAAAACACGTTCGGTGGGGGCTAAGAGAGTCATGTATCCAATATTGTTGGCATACAACTTCAAGTGAAAGCGTTATCACTTACAGTATACCAATGACCATCCAGTGTCAACTTTTCACTTCATCGGGACAAATACGTTTGTCGTATTTCCTCAGTATTAGAAGCTCCTTAGGGTAGGCACTCTGAGTCTACTCATTAGATGAAACGGATCGTATGCCCTCTGTAGATATGGAATATCATATCAATGAATTGACGAATGAAGCCAATTATCGATCCCGGGCACCGAACCGCACCCACACTTTCTATTTCTTGGTAGTATTGCTAAGATATACAGATCTCTGAAAAAACACATAGTGTTTCGCTAACTGCATTGATTATTTGTTAATAAACTTTGTCCAGGCCGTTTATTTAATTTTCGATGGGTTTGAACTGGCCTAGTAAACCTATCCTGTCTGAACCATGCAAATGATCTGAAACAATGACGTTGTTTTGCAAAACTTAGAACCCGCTCTCCAAACAGCTAGGAATCAAACTCTACTCCAACAGTTACTGTATACTTTAATGATCGAAAGTTCACCCGTCTACATATTATATATTAATTATTATTATTTCAACACATAAAAATTGGTACAAGGAGGCACCATATAGATATGCGCCACACAAATCATCCTATTTGTATGAGGACTGGGATACTGCCCGGGTGCCCAGACCGAAGCAGGTGGTTTTCTTAGGGAGCTACACCCGGAGCCTTTGACCTAAAGGTCTGACCCACATGGCGGTGGAGCAACGTCAGGAGATGCAGTCTCATGTCAGCCGGTGATCAACGATTGGTTCACACGCCATTTGTTCCTTCAGGGCACGAGCCTATGTGCACCATTGGTTCGGAATCAGGGTTTTCCAGCTTCCCCAGATGGATCCTCCGTGTTCACCAACCCGTGAAAGCGCTGGACATTCACTTTCCATTCTTTAAATTTCGTAAACAACACCCCAGCCTCGAGAAGGCAGTGAGTAAGGCTTCTCTGGCAGAGATTATTATTTAAATTTAAGAGTTCGAGTGGTTTTGATCGCAAAGTAAATAATAAATTATAATATGTATATCAATAGGGTATACGTGGTGCAAAACTATGTAAAAAAAATTTGTATACAACCACAGTTTATAAACAGTAGGAAATATATTAAGACTCGATGAGTCACATAGAAACTTACACTTAGGAAAATCTGCAAATGTACGTAACAGAAATATGGATTTTCAATAAAATAGTGTACAAAGTACTAGAATCATCTATCCCTTCTTAACGTCCGAGCCAGTTTAGAAAGGTAGAAACTAAGCTGACAAAAGCTAGATGCTCTTACACCTGTGGGAGAGAGTGGCCGAGATACCCATTGTGTTCCATTACCTTCTAGTCGTGTCTACGATAGAGCAAAAGAAACTGTCATATGTGTTTGAATAGGGGCGTCGTATTACTCAACTTCAATATATATAATAAACCATTTTGCAGCCAATTACTAGTGTAAATCCACTGCAAAGTTGATAGAAATGGTTTAGCTACTTAAGTCACATAGCATCATGTCGAAACTACATTGTCCAATTACTTTCTATCTTAAACCACCACTGTCTGGTGACCGGATGGTCTTTTTCTTTAAATATAAGTAGTAAATGGAGTCTGTGGTTAACACACAACGAAAGCAAGTTAATATAAGAAATGAGTATAAATCAGTCGTATAGAAGGTTTTTAGCTCATAAATGCGTGTTTGAAAATTTTCAAAATAATGAAATGGAATTTGTAGGTACACGACAACCTATGCACTCGATTTTTGCAGTAGACAACCAGTCATTATTAAAATGATTGAAGCACGATCTGAAATTCAATCAACAGCTATGGTAAAACCCTGGTTTTGTAAGAACGGCTAACGAGCGAGAAAAAGAATTGGCAAGTAAACAGTATCTACTGAAAAAGACAGTTTTACACAACCACTTGGACAACTTTTTCCAGCAAATCACAACCGTCCAGTTTAATCGAAATTAAGAAAGATGTAAATAAAGACATAATTTATTTTTAAATTAGGTTTAAATCAATCATTACCTATCTTATCGTGAGGATTTATATTGTGATAGAAAGAAGGGATATCATGAATGAACACCGGATAGGATGCCATAAGTGAGAACAGCAAATGTTAAATTCAGTTTCTGATAACAGTACGTAAATGTCATTTGAATAGATAAAATAACGAAAACAACAGGAAAACCTGATGACACCACCTAGAGAGAGGCCACACATTTATGAGAGTAGGAGAAATATTATATCATCACTTCTAACGTAACTTATTAGAATCGTCTTCAACAGACAATAAGAAAATTTGTGATTAGTGTATCCCTAAATTGTTTAGTCCGCGGATAGTGTGGTACTACTTGATTTATGCCTGATTTCAAATTTCAAACAGTGCTTTCGTTTGTGCTCATCTAGTTCTCTTTGGTCTCAATTGCGTTATTTTTGGGATTCCTAATTCCTATAATAACCTAAATACTTCTAATTATCACACTGACGTCGCGATGGAGCCTGTGATGGAACATTTGTATATACACTCAAATTTTGATGATTTTGAGAATTATATAGAAAGGTTTGAAATCTGGAATATGACCAAGGAACATGTTGAGAATGTGTATCGGAACAGCTTATTAAAAACTTTGGCATTTCCAGAAAATTCCATTTCATTTTCTTATGCAACTCTCAAGGAACTACTACTAGTCCATGCAAAGGCTACAAATTTAAGATATTATTATTATTATTCACAAACATCTTATGGGTACATAAGTGTTGTGAAGAAACCATTTCGGGTTTCTTCAAAAAATGCAATAATACACAATTTTCAATAATGTCAGCATTAGATTTGCCATATTTAAAAAAAGAGTAATAATAATAGAATATTAATAATAATAAATCGGGTCTGTGCAATTGAGAAGAATATTGAATTCAGTTTAAAGAAGGAAATGGAGAAAATAAGGGAATAGAAATAAAGGAGACGTGAAATATGCAAATAGTTTAGTAGGCGTGTTTATGAACACAGAACAAGAATAAACGACTATGTATATATCGTCAAATTAGTAACAAAAAATAATTAAGAAAAAATAACTTATAATTGCAGTAATATATGACGCTAGAATAAATGTTTGTGCAGTTATAGTTTAGAGTGATGCTATGAAAGTCTCAATTAAATGAAAAGGATAATAAAATATCAATATGTATGAGTCATATATGCATAGTGAAGAAAAAACGGGTCTGCGAAGTTAATTTAAGTGTAATACAAGTTATTGTCTTAATTACAAACTTCGTAATCTTAAGAATATTTATTTAGAGGGAAAGAAGAGAGAGAAAAGAAGTAGACACCTAGTGAAAAGGTTCATCCATGATAAGAATAAAAATCGTGTAGTGAATATCGACCTCAGAAGTAAACCAGCAATTGAGAAAAATAAACTAAAAATCCTTTAGTGCACTCGGATGAATACATTTAGATTTATGTAGTAGTAGTAGTAGTAGTATACAGAGTGAAACCGGATATTAGTACAAATATTTGTGCAATAATAATTAAGAATGATGCTATGAAAGTCACAATTAATTTCAAAGGACAGTCAGGAATTAAGATAAGAAGATATAAAAGGAATATCTAATGCGTCGGGGGAACAATAATGATATTAATAACAGTAATAATTATAGATGCGAACATAAGCAGACTTCATATATTAAGATAAATAGAAATAAAATAAAATAGATGTGGAAAGATTTAAAGGTTTTATTTTGCTTTTCAAGCAATTAAATGGATGACGGACCTTGTTTGTATAAATCATTATTGAATACATTGATATTCAATAGGTGACATAATCCACTTTCGGAAAGAAAATCACTAAGAAGACTTCTGAACCGGGCTGTAGTTTCACTGCAACGGAGGTTCACTGGAAGTCTGTTCCACATGGTTGAGTAGCGAATAAGGAAAAAATTCTGACGTAAGTTTGTGTGGGTTCTTGGAATCGCTAGAATATTCTCCTTATTGCGTAGATTGTGGGATGATATCATAAGGTATGAAGGGGTGGATACCGAAGAGTAGGAAATACCGTTAATAAGCCGGTAGATAAAGACAAGATTTAATTTGATACGTCTGATCCAAAGAGGCTCTAAGTTGAGTCGTTGACATCTTTGGTAATAGTCTTTGTTATCAGAATACCGCAGAACAGCTTTGGTGAACTTCTTTGAACACCTTCAATTTTAATCAGGTCATTATGTCTGCAATTACTGTAAACGAA